CATTAATTCGTAGCTCCCTTCAGCCTCCAGTTGGTTTGTAAGGAATGCCTCAAGGAGCTGGCCCTCTCCTGCATGCGGTAGACCAGAAAGTCAAATGGAAAATATCACAAAGTGCAGTCTGTGATATGCAAGGGTTTTGGTGGTTGAGCCCAGGCCTAAGGAAGTGGGTGCCTGCCAGTAGAAGTCATTCATTTTTAGACCACCACCACTGAAAGGTTGAGAGATGATGATAAAGACAGTTAAAAGCAGGAAATGTTTTTGAAAACTTACTCTGTATGGGTGTTGTGATTGGTACTGTGAATATTTCATTTAATCCTCAAGGCAACCCTGTGGGGTGGGTATTATCCCCATTTTACAGATGAAGAAACGAAAAACTTGCTCAAGGACACACAAGTCAGGCGCCAGGACTCCTGAGGCCAAAGTCCATGCTCTTAATTAAACTGCCTCTAATTATCCTAACATTTTACTTTTTTAGATGAGGCTGGGGAGGGGAAATATCTCACTCAAAGTCAATGTCTTATCCAAAGCCAAAGGGAGTCTCACCTGAACTTAAACACGAAGGAACTAGGATTTGAGCATCCCTGGTCACGAAGTGAGCAGAGAAATTAGGATTTAGGAAACATTTATTAACTACTTGGCATCATTTCAATTCATGTTCAAAAAAGCCCCGCGATGTACTGCACTGATCGGATGCGGAAACAAGAGACTCAGAAGGCTAATCTCCCCCCAAATCAATTTAGGAAAAACGGCTGCCCTGTCGGATTACCCATTCAGGATTCAGAGGATTCAGGAATCTAACCCCAGTTTCTCTCCTTTTTCGAGGTTGGGGGGGTGGGAGGTAAAATTGAACCCTCCACTTCTCTAGACTCCGAGGGCGTACACGGCGGTGGATTCTGGGATTTGAGGTATCCCGCGAAGAGTTTAGACTCGTGGGCCAATAGAATTCGAGCACAGGCGGTGGCACCCCCCCCATCCGTCGAATTAGCCAATGAGAAGCGCACGGGTTCTGGTCGCCTGGGAAACCGCGTGACAACAAGATGGCGGCGCCGTGGGACGGCTTCGTGGCCCTAAGCCGTGAGTCCCGGCTCAAACTTTTGCGGCCCCGGAGTCCCCAACGCAGGCTGGGGCCCTCGCCCCGAGAGTCCGAGGACCCGCGAGTTCCGCGGTCGGGTGGCCCAGCAGGCTTCCACGTCATGGGAGCGGCTTCAGATCTCCGCTTACGTGGCTACGGGAGGAGGCGGGAGGAGGCGACGCAGCTCCCGGGGAGGGCTTAGGTCGTGACTGAAGTCGCGTCGTGAGCGCTTCCAGCTGGAGATGGAGGGCTTGAAGGCGTGCAGCCGGCCTGGCCTTGCCTGCGCTGGAAAGCACTGGGCCTGGGGTGAACTGTGCAAATGGACCGCGCAGATCTGCCGGAGGATATAATCAGTCAAGCAGAGCCCTGACTTGGGTCCTAAAGATGTAGGGGCATGGGACACAGCTTTCCTCTCAAAGCCCCAGCCTGAAGGGGACACAGTCCAACCTGTAGGCGTCTCCAGCTTGAGGGGGAAGTCAACAATCAGCCCCTGGAAGCCCCCATGTGAGGGGAGTAGACGTGGCTCTATCCTCAGGCCCACCTCTGCCCCGGGTCTGAGGAAGGAGGAGACACAGCCCCAGAAGTCAGGGGTCTCTTATAATCCATGGGAAAATTAATCTGGAGACAGTGTGTTGGTCTGAAGCGAGACAGGAAGCAGGAAGTCACTTGCCAGCTATCGTGACAGCCCCAAGGAAGGTCAGTGAGAGCCCCACGAGGATGACCAAAGTGGGCATGGAAAGAAGGAGCTGTGTGAGAGACGTTGCAGAGTTTAACCTGCAAAGTCTGGCGATGGATGGGATTAAGAGAAGAGGAAAGAGAGGACAATTTTGTGGTTGGATGATGGGGTCGCATTAAGAAGGGGGAAGTGGGAGGAGCTTATTTTGAAGGAAGATGTTGAGTTTGGTTTGGGGACCGGGTCCCTTTTTTTCTGTGATAGCTTTGTTGAGATAATAATTCCCATAATATTTACTTCACCCCTTTGAAATATAAACTTCAACCGTTTTTAGGATATTCATGAGACTTGGGCAACCACCACCACAATCAATTTAGATATTTTCATCTGTCTAAAAAGAAACTCTGTACCCTTTATCAACTATCCCATATACCCTCCAACGGCCTCCAGCCCTAGGCAATTACCAATCTATTTTATGTCTCTAGATTTGTCTATTCTGGACATTTTATATTAATGGGTTCATAACAATATGTGGTGTTTTGTGACTTTCCCTTAGCATAATGTTTTCAGGGTCCATTCACGTGATGACCTGGCTTCCATTTCTTTTTATTGCTTCCTAATACTCCATTGTAAGGATATACCAGACTTCTTTATGTGTCCTTTGGATGGTGGACATTTGAGTTGTTTCCATTTTTGCATATTATGAATAATGCTGCCGTGAACATGTAGGTGAGTTTTTGTGTGGATGTAAGTTTTCATCCTGGGTAGATCCCCAGGAGCAGAATTGCTGAGCCATAAAGAAACCTTCTGAGGAACCTCCAGACGGTTTTCCACAGCTGCCACGCCATTTTCTGCTCCAGCTAAGATTCCAATCTCCCCACCTCCTCACCAACACTTGTTCACTTCTGTCTTTTTTTAAACTAGTTTCTTCTGAGGGGCTGTTATGGTGATAAGAATTTGGAGAAGGGAGGGGTAATTGGGGCCAGAGGAAACTCATGCAGAACAGTGCTGGCTGAGAAAGGAACATCACCTGTTAGCATGATGGAATGTTCTAAAGATTGACCATGGTGATGGTTTCACAACTCTGTGAGTATACCAAAAACCACTGAATTGTACTCTTTAAAAGGGTTAAGTATGTGAATTAGATCTCAATAAAGCTGTTTTTTTTTAAAGATTTTATTTATTTATTTGACAGACAGAGATCACAAGTAGGCAGAGAGGCAGGCAGAGAGAGAGAGGAAGGGAAGCAGGCTCCCGCCGAGCAGACAGCCCGATGCGGGGCTTGATCCCAGGACCCTGAGACCATGACCCGAGCTGAAGGCAGAGGCTTAACCCACTGAGCCACCCAGGTGCCCCGCTGTTTTTTTTTTTTTTTTAAAGGTCAATACCATATGTTTCCATTAATGTAACATTCCTGAAGTAAGAAAACAGTAGTGGTTGCCAGGGTTGAGGATGGTATGGGTGTGACCAGAAGGGGCTGGTATGAGGGAGATCCTCGGGGTGAGGGAATCTCTGTGGTGATGGAGTAGTTCTTTTTTTTAATTATTTATTTATTTAAGATTTTATTTATTTATTTGACAGACAGAGATCACAAGTAGGCAGAGAGGCAGGCAGAGGGAGAGAGCCAGGGAAACAGGCTCCCTGCTGAGCAGAGAGCCCGATGTGGGGCTTGATCCCAGGACCCTGGGATCATGACCTGAGCTGAAGGCAGAGGCTTTAACCCACCGAGCCACCCAGGCACCCTGATGGAGTAGTTCTTTATCTTGACTATAGTGGCGGTTACCTGGAATGTCCATGGGGGTGACAAAGCATAAAAGGATACAGACATGTAGTGTAACTGTTGGGAGAACCTGGATGAAGGGCACACAGATCCCCTTCATACTATTTTCCTAATTTCCTGTGAATCTATAGTAATTTAAAAGTAAAAACTTAACATATGACTAAAGGACAGACAAAAACAAAGAAAAAAAGAGGAGTTAGCTCAACCGAGGGAAGGGGGCAGGTCAGAGTGGGAACTCCATTCCAGGAAGGAGTTCCGGGCCAGGGGAGCATTTGAGGTCGGGCAGGTTCAAGTGTAGGAGTGAGGGGGAGTGAGGTCAGGAGATGCAGGCAAGGACCAGATCATCTCTGTTACGGAATTTTGAATTTCTTTTCTCTGGGCAAGAAGGAGCCACTGGGAGCTTTCAGCAAGGAGGTGACATATTAGCTTTATGTTTCTGAAGATCCCTCTAGCTGGAGACCCGTGCAGGGAACCAGGAGGGGCTGTCACACTTGGCCACACAGAACAAAAGGATGCCTGGACAAGATGGCAGGGACTGGGGCAGGCCAGGGGCAGACTGGGAAGGCCGATGGTGGGGGTGAGTAAATGCCAGGTCTGGGGCATGAGTCCCAAACTCCGGAGTGAAGACGGAGAAGCTGCCTCCCAGTGGCACAGCTCCCTTTGCTGGGCAGCTTCAGGGGCAGGGGTGAGGCCGTACCACACATTTTCAAAGGGCAGCTGTCTTGGATTTGTCCTAAAAAGACTTGATTCAGGCCCTGATGGGGGTCCTTTGGTTCTAGGGTTTCTAAATATTAGCCACATAATATATTTAATTCACTGAATAGAGTAGTGGCCTTTAATTCCATTCCTGACGTGCATTCATCTTAACAGAAGAAGAGAGAAGGAGGGGGAGAGACATGTATAAGTGTCCTCAGTGTATAGTAACAAAAGCCACAACAGCCACATTAAAAAATTTTTTCTTAAGATTTTATTTCTTTATTTTTAATTTTAAGTAGTTTTAATTTTTTATTTTATTATTATTATTATTACTATTTTTTATTCTCGATCAAATGCAGTGCACGATCCTAGGACTTGAGCTTTGTATCAACCAGTTCCTTGAAGGATGGAGCCAGGACACAAGTTGGCAAAATCCCAGGCTCCTGGCCCATCTCTGGACCTGGACCCCCCACTCCCATCACCCTTTCCCAACCAGGCCAGGGGCCTCCAGGATCAGAACAGAGAACAGGATATCCAGAGGCTCAGGCCAACATCAATCACAAGGATCCTGAGACCAAGCTGCTTCCAGAAACCTCTGCAGGGGTGGTGGGAAGAAGTGAGGGGCGCTGCTCCCTGGACAGTGCTTCTTCCTGGGGAAAGAAACCATGGAAGAGGAAGTTTCCCTGGTCCTGAAGCCCTGGGCCCCCTCTTTCCTCAAGGACTGACTTTCTTCTTTCTTTTCAGGGAGTTCCTGACAGCTAGTATCTCGAAGTAGAACTATGGGCTCACCTTTGGCCTCCCTTGGCAAGACCCGAAGAGTGCCCCTGCAGTCAGAGCCTGTGAATCCAGCGTAAGGAACCTGCCTGGGGCTGGGCGGGGCGGGGTGGGGGGGTAGGGGCATCTTTGTGTTCATGTCTCTGCCTTTTGGCCCCTGTGGACTAGGAGGATGGCTCCTAGTGTCTTAGGGCAAAAACGAGGAGTTACATAACCTTCCCTGACCACCAGATCTTTCTCTGTACCACTTCCTCAGAGAGGCTCCATAGCTTGTCAGAGCAGACGCTGGCTGGGGCCCTCTGCCAGGGTGTGGGCTGGGTGGGAGCGACGCGGCCCCTGGGTACACAGAGTTTGGGGTCGGTTTATCAAGACCGATGGGCAGCTTCTCCAGCCCAGCCACGTGCTGAGCCCTCAGTAAGGGGAATCCTTTACATCTGCCTCCCGCTTTTATCCTTTTGAAGCATTTTTTACCCCTCTCCTTGCTCTTCTGAACACCACTTTGAGTCATTTGAAGGCCAGGGAAATCTAGGGCAGCTGAGCGACAGGCCTGGGGTCCCACAGCCATTTCACAGCGGAGCTGGGGCTGGGCTGCTGGGCTTGGGAGTGCTTGTGTCTTCCACCCAAACCTCCCCCCCGTTCAGCCCTTCCCTGCTCTTCCCCGTTGGGACAAGGGGACACCTTGAAGCCTGTCCCTTGGTTTGCCCCAGGGTCAAGGATGGGATCTGGGGAGGAGATTGCCTCGGGAGGCAGAGTCCCAGCCTCCATCTCGTTTAGGCTTGGCTAGGCCCCTAGTGCCGGAGCTGCTCCCCTGATGACATTCCAGAGGGTCCTAACTTCTCTGTCTTCCTTTTCCTTCCTGCCCGGGTTCCCAGCAGGCGAGGGATAAAAATCTACGGAGATGGTAAGTGCAGGCTCTGCCCTCATGTCCCCCTCTCCTCGCACCTCTTGGGTGTCCCTGGGGTTGTGTAGATGGAGAGAAGGGACAAGACGGCGGCCACTGTCAGAACAGCTGGCCCACCCACAGGGCCCTCATGCCTTCCTGAGGACAGGACCCAGCAGCTCTCTGATTCAGAGGCCCCACACCCTTAGCAGAGATGTCACTGCTAACATGGGAAGCCCTCCACTCACTGTGGGGTTGGCCAGTGGATGCCAAGAAGCCATGGGGGTCAGACCCCAGCAGTCCTTACCCTGACAGCCTCCTCCAGCCCATCCTGCCTTTTCCTCCAGAAGCCCCGTCCTCCCTTGGCTGCCCCGCCAACCGCAGGCTCAGACCTTTGCATCCCAACCCCATTCTTGCTGCCACCCTGTGGCTGGCATCGGCTACTCAGGTCCTCCTGGGAGCCAGGCTGGGAGATTTGCAAGAAAGCCTGCTCTGGTTGGATCCTTGCTCCCTGATATCCCACGTGTTCTATCCGTGTACACTTGGGGGTACAGAGTACAGGCTGCTTCATCTGGGCCAGAGCCCAGGGCCCCAATGTTCTCTGGGCCTCAGCCCCAGAGCAGTGACCTGGACATCCCTGTCCGCAGAAGATGAGGCAGACGTGCTGAATAATGGACTTGGCCCAGAAGAAAAGATCGCTGTCCCTTCCTGCTATGGCGGCATTGGTGCACCTGTGAGCAGACAAGGTAAAAACAGAAGCCTAAAAGGGGTCTGGTCCCCAGCAGCAGGAGAGGGTCTCAGGGAGGGGCTGAGGCCCAGAGAGGCATGGACCTACTCTTGCCTGCTGTGGGTGAGCCCCTGGTCTGTAGACAGCACTCCTCGCTTGGCCTGCACTGTCCCCCAAGGACCATGGTGACACCCATCTCAGAGGTGCCCAGAGGGGCCTACTGGGCAGCTTCCCGTTGGAGGGTGGAATGGGCCTGGGCACCGGGGAAACCTGGGCAGGTAAGGTCAGAGTCTGCTGCAAGCCCAGAGGAACTGGGGACAAGACTAGAAGTTTCCGCTAGCTGTAACACCTTGGGTAAGCAATGTTCTATCTCTCTGCCTCCCATTCCTCGTCTATGAGTGGGGAAGCACTCCTCCTCTGAACCCTGCCATGGGATAGAACAGGGAATTGAGGCTGTAAAAGGAAACCAGAAGAGTCTGGCCCCACAACCATGCAGGCACAAAGTCTGGCTCTCCTGCAGCCCGGCTGGGGACACGCTTGTTAGCAACTGCAGTAACCAGCTCCTCCCCTTAAGGAGCTGTCCCGTGTGCTCTTTGCCTCTCCCCTGGCATCTGCTCCTCACTCCACTCTCAGCCAGTGTCTGTCCCCACCGAGGTCACAAACAAGGACTCGCCTGTCCTGTCTCACTTCTCTGCACAGCAGCATTCCACAAGGGTCACCGTTCCCTCCTTCTCACATCGCTCTGGGCCCTTCGCCACCATGACGCCACTCTCTCGGGTTTCTTCCCACCTCCCAGGCTCTTCCCTCTCTTTGCTCGCTCCTTCTTTTCCTCCTAGCTTTTCAGTGGGATGCTTCTCCCCTGGGTTCTCTCCATCTCTCTCTCTCTCCCCCTGCTGCCTCAGTGAGCTCATCCACACTCTAGGCACGGATGGGGTTCGGAGGTCCGTAGAACCGTTATAGAGCTTTGACTGCAAGGCAGAGAAATCCCTTACTCAGCTAGCATGGACATTGAGGAGGACTTACTGTCCCGCGTAGCACGACATCCAGGAGGCAACTCCAGGGTTGTTAATCCATCCCCTCAAAGACATCATCGAAAGGCCAAGTTTTGGGGTACCTGGGGGCCTCCGTTGTTTAAATGTGTGTTTTCAGTTCAGGTCATGATCTCAGGGTCCTGGGATGGAGCCCTGAGTCGGGCTCAGCGGGGAGTCTGCTTGTCCCTCTCCCACTACCCTTTCCCCTGGCTTGTGCTCACTCTCTCTCGCTCTCTCAAATAAATAAATAAAATCTTAAAAAAAAAAGTTCAGGTTTCTCTGTCATTCCACTAAGCCATCTTTGGCCTGTCTGCCCACGTGGCTGTGTGGCGACACAAGCAGTTCCTGGTTCACACATAGGGCAGCGGCCGGGGAAGGAGAGGGCCCATTCCTCCCTCTGGGTCTTTCTTGGTTTCTTTTCCGAGACTTTATTTTGGAGAATGTCTAGCCTATACAGAAATTAAAATAATAGTATAGTGAACACCTGTATGTCTGCCATCTAGATGCAACAGTGAGTGACATTTTGCCACTAATTTGCTTTCTCTCTGTCCATATACACATATGTATGAATGTAAATGTATTTTTTTGATGTCAATTTCATTTAGAAGTCAATTTCAGATATCATGATGTTTCACCTCTAAATGCTTTAGTAAGCATCTCTTCCGAATAAGGGAACCCATGCCCACAGGACAGGGACAGCACCCAAGAATGTGGATGACGCGGAGACACCCTGGAGCCCCTCTTCTGCACTCAGATTTCCTATATTCCAAAATTAGCTCCTGGCTATTGTTTTTCCTGATCTAGGTTCTAATCTGGGTCGGGCACTGCATTTGATTGTTATACCTCTGTAGAACAGTGTCCTTGCCTTTTTATTTTTTTTTTTAAGATTTAATTTATTTATGACAGAGAGACACAGTGAAAGAGGGAACACAACCATGGGGGAGCCAGAGAGGAAGAAGCAGGCTCCTTGCTGAGCAGGAAGCCTGATATGGGGCTCGATCCCAGGATGCTGGGACCATGACCTGAGCCGAAGGCAGACGCTTAACAACTGAGCCACCCAGGCACCCTTGTCCTTGCCTTTTTAAGTTTAAAATGACACTGACTCTGAGAAGTCCGGGCCATATGTCCCTCAGAGAGCCCACACACAGATCTTGGTGCTTGCTTGTCCTCTGTGCTGACTCGTTCCCCTATCTGCTGTGTTCCTGTAAACTGAGGCGCGCTATGGGGACAGCACGAGCTGATACAGGCAAAGTATTTTGGACAATCTCTAATATCTAAGTGACAGCTCCTATTACTACTGTTCTTTCTGCTTCTGGGAATCCCTATCGCCCTCCACTGGACCCCCATACTTCAGCCTCCACTCTAGGCCTGGGCTCCAGGACTTTGTCTGTTTGGCAGTCCCCGTGTTCCGTGACTCGGAGCTGGTGGCCACCTTGACCAGGAAGATGCGGGATCTGGAGCGGCAAGTGAGGTCTCAGACTGATGAGCTGCTGTCCAAGGTGGGACCTCGGTGGGGACAGGGCCAGGGTCTGGTCTGAGCGGTGGAAGGGCCCAGGCTGGGGAGGTCAGTGAGTTTACCACCGTAATAGGCCAGGGCGGATGGGTTCTAGAACTGTCTCTCCCAATGAACCTCCCAGTTCAAGCCCCAGGTATGGCCTGGGGCTGATCTGGGTCCCTGTGACCTGAGCAGAGAGGCTAAGGGTCTTCTCTACAGCTGAGTGAGGCCAGTAGCCTTGGATGTGGTGGTAGCAGTGGCTGCTGGCTCTGGGACACTTGGAGGTGCTCCCTGCCTCTCCTCACCACAGTGGAACCACAAGGGTATCTGAGGGGTAGGAGCAGTGGCTGTGCCAAAGGGGGGCAGGGACAGGGTCTTTAAACTCCCCAGTGTTCCACAGAGGCAAGAAGTCTGGGTCTTCCCATCTGGAAGGGGCTCCCTTGCGCTCTGGGAACCCCCAGGTCTGCCTGTCCCTGCTTGTCTTGCTGCTGCAGGATCGGAAGATACGGGCCCTGGAGGAAATGGTGCAGAACCTCCAGGAGCACCAGGGTAAGAGGCTCTCTTGGTCGGCTGGTCAGCCCTCCTGGGACACCTCCCCTGGGCCGGTGGCTGCTGGGCAGCAGGGCTCCAAGAGCATCAAGCTGAGCCCCGTCATGGGTCCTGGACAGCTGAGCCCAGACAGTGGTTATGATACACCAGGACAATGATGTCCTCTGTGGGACTGAGTCCCCAGAGTGCGGCCGTAGCCCAGCCCCGAGCACTGGGCACGCCATCAAAAGTGTGGAGGAACACAGCCCCCTCAGGAGCCTCAGAGGGCTGAGGTTGCGGGGGGAGTCTCCTGAGAGTCCGGGCCTCCCCTCTCAAGGTCGGAGGAGAGGCCCAGAGGCAGTTTTCAGGGGACCCCTCGAGTTCTCAAGGGGCAGCTACTCCAAAGGACGGTGAGGGCAGAATGGCAGGCAAGGCCAGAGGTGGTCCGGCAGCTTCCCTGCTGCTGATCTTTCCCCGCAGGCCAGGTCAGGACGCAGCAGCAGCAGGACCTGGAGACCACATGCCTGCGGCTCCAGCGCCAGGTTGAGGAGATGGAGGTGAGAGAGGCGGTGGCCCAGAGCTATCTGGCCCTCAGGACCCGGCTCTGGGTCCTCCAGCCCCTGCACATCCCATGGTTCCCTCCTCAGGACTAACCCAGAGTCTGAAGAGCCGGGGAGGGTCTAGTGCCCTGACCCCGCTGGGCCCCCTGACCACCTCGGTCTCGCTGGGAGCCTCTCGGCTCCAGCCACGGGCCTGCCTCTGGTTCCCTGGACACCTTGAGCTCTTCCCACCACAGGACCTTGGCCCATGCTGTTCCCTCTCCTTGAGGAGTGTTTTTCCACCTTCCCCTGGTGGGTCTTCAGTCATCGTCAGTCTCACATCAGGGGTGGGGGCCCTTCCCAGGGGGCCTCAGTCTCCCCTGTGGGACTGTGAGCCCCCCCCGAGGTGAGGACTGCTTTCCTCCAGGCTGCTGCTGCACAGCCAGGACCAAGCTTAGCGCCCGGCTGTGTGTGGTTACTGGTGGGTCACGGCCATCCCTTGCCTTCGAACATGGCATCTCACCCACCAGGTGCCACCTGTTGCCCCTACTGACTTATCCATTCACAAGCCAGACTTGAACTGTAGGGACCATAGGCTCGAAGGAGGGTACTGAGTACACATGCCTCCTCAGTGCCCCCCTGCCCCTGATGACTGGCGCTCCTCCACCCCCAAAAGCTCTCCCTCTCACAGAGCTGGCTTCCAAAACCCCATCCTAACTGAGACCACAGAAGCAGCAACCAGGCCACAGCTGCAGGAGGGCCCTTGGCTCCCGGGGCCTATTCCATACCCCGGGGCTGCCTGAACTCTCTGCTGAGAGTGCTGGTTGGGGGGGCTGGGGGGGCTTCTCTGAGCTGCTGCCACAGGGGTTGAGGGCCACGCCTACAGCTTCAGGGCAGAAGGTATCTTGGCTCCGGCTCCTACGGCTCCTACGTTGGTGGCCTTCACACATTGACTCCTACTTAATTTAACTCAAACAAAGCATCTCTGGGTGCCAGGCACCCTTCCAGGTGCTGGGAGGTAAACGTGGTCCCTGTCCCTGGGGCTGGCAGGCTGAAGGGGACAAGAGACGTAAACAAGGACACGGGTCTAGGTTTCTGTATTTAGCTGGGTGACAGGATAGGGGCGAGCTGGAGTTTGGGCCGCTCTGCGGGGTGGCATCGGGCAGATATGGAGGATAAAGAGGTGATCAGGGAATGAGGATCAAGGCCGAAGAGATGCCACACAGACTCCTGTGGGCGTGGAGAGCAAGAGGGAGAAGGAGAGACGGCAAGGACCGTCGGGGGAGCCTGTCCACCCGTCATGCGGGGCTGGATTCTGTCCTCCAGGATGGGAGGCCATGGGAAGGTTTCGGAGGCGTGGACGGGGAGGCCTGTGGAAGAGCAGTTGGAGTCGTCGGGGGTGCAGGGTGGGGAATGGCCGGGGCTTGAGCGAGGTGCTGGGGCAGAGTGGAGGGATCCGAGTCTGCATCGCTGGTGGCGCTCAGAGGCCTTGCGGGTCGTGGCTGAGGCCCAGGAGGAGGGGTGCCGTTGACAGACTGGAGATCTGGGGCAGCGGTTTGGGAGATGGGGACATGGAGTTAAGGCTGTTGGGGACGAGTTCATATTGAAATGCCTGTGAGACCTCTAAGTGTGGCTAGTGGGCCGGGCGCAAGTGAGAAGGAACGAGACGTGTTGGGGGGCTGACGACAGAAACCCGCTGGGTTTGGCGCTGGGCGGGCTGTTGGTGGTTGCACCTGAGCAGTTCCAGTCAGTAGTGAGACGGGGCTAGAATGGGGTCAGGAGAGAGAGGGAGTTGAAGAAGCAACGACAGGAAGTGTAGACAAGTCAGAAGTTTTCCTGTGGCTGGGGGGATGGGAGGCCTAGCCCTAGAGAAGCTGCATGTGGCTCACCAAGTCCTCTGGGTCCTGCACAAGCCCGTGTCCCTGCCCTTCCTCCACTCAGGCCAGATGCACCGGGTGCCCCACTACCATTGGGGCCGCCTTCAGTGAGGTCTTCCTGGCGCCAGACACTGTGCTTTAAGCACTCTATGTGAGTGATCTTAACTGAGTCCTCCTTGCATGCTTCTAGGGCAGGGAGAAGCCTACAGTTCTGGAAGGTGAAATGGCTTCCCAAGGTCCCAGCCAGGAAGTAGCCAAGACCCCAGGGGCCCATCCCTTCTGCCCAGTGGGCGCTGGGAGCTGAGGCCTGAGGCTGGGGACCGGACTGCTGCTGGCTGCTCCCTGGGGGGTTGAGCTGACCGCGCCCCCCCACATCTGTTCCTTCTCTCCATACAGCGGTTCCTCAGTGACTACGGGCTGCAGTGGGTGGGCGAGTCTGTGGACCAGGAGGGCTCAGACAACCAGGCAGACTCAGAGGATGGCAAGAGGGACTGGATGACAGCCAAGAAGTTCTGGAAACCAGGTAGAGTAGGGGGTCTGCCCCCAGTCCCTCCTACAAAAGGAGTTCTCCAACACCACTCTGGGCCAGCAGCTGTCCAGAGGCAGTCTCATTCGCGCCCCTGACCCAGGAGCAGGGAGGACAGGCTCTGCCTCCATCACTGAGCACCTGACTTGCCACCATGTTCTTCCTCTGGTCTTGCCTCAGACCCCCTGCTTGCTCATCTTTCAAAGGCCTCAGAGACCCAAGAGATACGAGACATAAGACAACCTCACTTGTGTTGGGCTCCATAGTTTACAAAATGTCTTCCATCCCAAAGTTTTTAAAAAACAAGTCCTCTGCTTTGGAAGCTGCCCTCAGAGCCAGGCTCGATCCCCTCTTCGCGTTCCTTTTTCAGCCTTGCTGTAGCCAAGCCATTGAACTCGCCCTGTTTCTCTGGGACCCCTCCATTCTTTTTTCTAAACTTGACCGTTCCCGATCTAGAGGAATGAACTCCACAGATGTGGACCCGTAGATCTGGCCATTTCTGAAAGGCCATTCTCTTCAAAGAATGGAGGTGATCGCCCTGAGGTACTTCTCCAGGCTCTGGAGCTGGTCAGACCTGGGTGCTCGTCTCCATTCTGCTGCCCGCTCCACGTGGGACTTGGGCGGGTGACTTCTGTTCTCTGAGCCTCCAGGCCCCCCTCGGTAAGTGGGGGTGCGCTCTTCCCTGCGGAGTTGAAGGGATCAGCGGGGTCGATGCCGAGCATCTGGCACTGACCTTGCATGTCATCGGCCCCACAGGCAGGGGATTTGCTTGTTTTCCACGGTGACGTGCCATTGGAAGCCTCCCAGGAGCATCGGTGAGCATGGCTCCTGAGGGGAGTGTTTGGAAAGTGACGTCACCGTCTTGATTTCATAACTTTCAAAACCCGAGAGTGCTGCCTCCCCATTCAGGCCTGAGCTTTGGCCAGATCCCCCTAACCCTTAGGGCACAGCTCCCCCACTGCTTCTAAAAACATCACTTCCCACTTGTACAATATTTGTAGCTTTCAAAGCATTTTCATCAACAGCCTTGACACAAGCCACGGGTTGTTCCATTTTATAGATGGGAATCACTTAGGAAGTCTGGAGACTGTTGAGCCAAGGGGTCAAGACTTAAGGCCGGGAGCCCGTTTAGGAGGTGGTCCCAGTCATCCAGGCAGGAGATGGGATGACATCCAGAGGCAGGGTGATCCTGGTGGGCACCGTGAGGAGGAGCAGGGCAGATTTAGGAAGTGGAATCCATGGTCTCGGAGACTGTGCATCAGGGAGTGGACAGGAAGAATCGGGGATGGCCCTGGGACACCCCTTCCCGGGTAGGCGGGGACGTCCTGAAAGGCGACTGCCAGATGCTCTAAGAACATTCCTGGGGTCTAGCGCTAGGGGTCAGCCACCATGGCACCCTGGACCCCACACATGCCCCTGCTGGCTGGAGGGCAGCCTTCCTCCTGGCTAGGGGGGTCCTCCTGGCTCCTTTGGGGGTCAGCCCAGATAGCTGGCTTCCGGACCTGGCTCTGTGGACTCCTAGAACAGGGCAGCCCCCGCTCTGCTGTGTTGTATGTTTATGCCCAGAATAAGCTGGCTCTGAGGCCCAGTGCTTCAAAGCTAGAGCAACTTGTGAAAACCACTGTGTGCCCTCCTCCTCTGCGTTCTGCTTCTTCAGCATGGAGGGGCCTCAGCTTAGCTCTGCTGCCAGCTGAACAATGAACACTCTTCTGGAATGAAATGAACACTCTTCATTTCCAGCAGCTTTTCCTCCTGGCGCTGCACCCCCCGCCCCCCACTTCCTTGGCTTCTCCCCTACCTCCACAGCTTTGTCCCCAGGTACCAGGCTGCTGCTGCCCTAAGGGCCCTCAGGGGCATGAAGCCAGCCTCTTGCTGTGGCCCTGATGCCCTGGCTCGTTGCTCTGGCTCTCCTTCTGTTGGCTACCACTCCCTGCAGGCCCCAGGCGGCCGTGGAGGTGGGCTGGGCATCTGGATGGGGCTAACCGGTCCAGAACCAGGACTTTCGCCCTGGGGAGAAGGGTTCTCTGGCCCACGAAGGGGACCCGGCCCAGGGGAAGCCTTGCAAGAATGTGGCCTCCGGCTGGATCATTCACTCCCTCCCTGCCCTCTCTACCAGTGAACTGAGCATTAACTAGGATGCCGGGCGCTCCAGGGTGTGCGGGGACTTGAAAGGGACGGTCCTGCTCTGGTGCAACCCGTTGCCAGGTGTTGAGCCTCAGGGCTGAGAGCTCCTCGCTCTCCCTTCACCATCGCCTCTGAGCTCCCCACTCTCACTCATCTCCGGTCCTTTCTGAGCTCCTCCTTCCCCATCCTTGTCCCTTCTGAGCTCCTTGCTTCCCCCTTCCCTGTTCCCTGAGCTCCTTGCTCCCCCTTCCCTGTTCCTTAAGCTCCTCCCCCTCATCCCTGCCCCCTCCCAGCTCAAACAAGGAGATGGGTGTGTTAATGCCTAGGCCTCTGAGAGCGCTGAATGCCATTGTGCACGTGGGGGTTCTTGCAGGCCACTGAGAGTGGATGAACGATGACTGAGCCATGGTTACTTAGCCCCTGCCAGGCTGCAGAAAGCCCAGCGTGGAGCCTGGCCCAGGGGCCAGGGCGTTGGGCCTGTGTGCAGGACGGTGGGGGTGCCTGCGTACCCAGGTCTGCGTGGTCCGGCACGCGGGACGACCTGCTGCACGGGGCAAGGTGGGAACAGTGGGAATGGGGTGCACAGTGCTCAGCTGCGGAAGCCAGAGGATTGGCTGTGAGCCGTCAGGGACCAGACTCTCAGGGCCTGATTTCTCTCCACCAGCCCTGCTGAGAGCAGAGCAAACGTAGTCCGTCCCCCCCCCCCCCCCAGCAGGGCCAGGCTTGCGGAGGTCTGGAGACAGCAGTCTGGTTCCTGCCCGGCCTGTGCGTGAAGCGGTGGGGTCAGGCATGCCAGGGCCCCAGGGCACCAAGGTGGTATTCGCAGCAGCAGGTGGCCCTGCCTGATGTGTGAGGAGCCAGCCCAGAGCAGACCCACCCCTCCCCTGCTGAGCGCGGCCGGGGCTGGCCCTCCTCTGGGCTCCATGGCCTCTGCAGTGGTACTAACCACATGCATTGTCATTGCGGTCACCCTGTCCCCTTCACTGAAGTATGAGCCTGAGGAGGGCAGGACTGTGGGTGTGGGCACAGCCACGATTCTCAGGGCCCAGCAGGGCTTGGGCAGTCTGGACATATTGGCAGGACAGAGGGAGGAAGGAATGGATCCAGTATGTGCTTCTTGAACTCCCACTCCGGGCCAAGCCCAGGGCTCGATGCTGTAGCCTGTGTTCAGGGAGTGCCCACTGTGGTTGGAAAGACAAGCAACCAGGAAAGGACAACGGCCTGGGATACGTGTCGTGCTCCCCAGTGGGCCTGAGGGCTCCAGGAACTCAGGAGGCTGAGTCTCCGAGGCAGGGGCTCCTGGCAAAGCCTCTCAGAGGAGGTGGGTCCCTGAGCCAGTGGGGAGCAAGAGGTAGGGTGTCAGTGACAACAAAGGCCACTGTCTGCCAGGTACCTCCTCTGAGCCTCACAGCCACCTGTGAAGTGGAGACTGTTACTGTCTTCATTTCATAGAAGAGGGAGCCCAGGCCCAGAGAGGTCAACCCACTTGTCCAGGATCACACAGCTTGGAAGCAGTAGCCCTGGGAGGACGGCTCCAGAGAGTGATGGAGGAGCAGGCTGAGGGGAGGATGGGGAACCTGGGTCCCAGGGGTCTCAGGCTTTAGGCCAAGGAACTTGGTCGTGATCTCCATGCCTCCCCAACTCTCCCCCCGCTTTTTTTTTTTTTTAAGATTTTATTTATTTATTTGACACAGATCACAAGTAGGCAGAGAGGCAGGCAGAGAGAGGGGAGGAAGCAGGCTCCCCATCGAGCAGGGGGCCCGATGCGGGGCTCTATCCCAGGACCTGGGATCATGACCTGAGCCGAAGGCAGAGGCTTTGACCCACCGAGCCATCCAGGCGCCCCTCCAACTCCCCTGTTTAATAAACTTACGGGTGCTCAAAGTTGGATGAGGGCTCAGAGGTGATCTCTCCCTGCACCACACCCCTCCTTAGAAAGGGAGCCCAGGGAGCAGTGTCCCAGAGGCAGCCTGCATGGTCACTGAGAATAGAGGCATAGGGTCACCCGGGCCCTGAAAGCTGCCTGAGCAGGAGCATGTCACCTTACAAGGCCCTGTCCCCCTCATCTCTAAAACAGGAGCGGTAATACCTGCCTCTAGGTGCTCGGCACGAAGTAAACCCTCACTGCTTCGTCCTTACAGTCAGTCCCCCCCGCTGGATCTTGCTGGATGGGACAAAGGTTCTTATTCCCCCCCATTCCATGGACGGGAGAGCTGCAGCTCTGAGAGGAAATGCCTCAGTAGACCTCTGACCTGCCTTACCCCATGTGACCTGGCAATGGGCCAGGTTTCTGTGGCACACTCCCTGCTCTTTGGTGCCAATGCCAGGCTTGCTGCCTTGTTCTCAGGCCTGTTTTGCCTGGAGCTGCAGTTGTATCCCGGGCCCCTTGACTCCCTGCAGGCTGCTGCCGCGGGCGCCCGCCCGGCCCACCCCGCGGTGACTTCCCCACGCCTTAGCCCTACTGGCTGAGAGCCTCCAGGGCTGACTTTCTCAGCAAACTCTTTTCCCTCCATTTGCTTCTTGGCATCCTCCCCTGGGCCTCCACCTGGCCCTTCCCTGTCCATCACCCCATGTCCTTCAGCTCCCTGGAACAGCCTTGGCTCCCGGATGCAGCTGGATGGGCAGGCAGCGTATCTGAGTGGTCCTGGGTCAGCGTGGTGTGGTCTGCGTGGGCCCAGTCCTCTGACCTTTCTAGGCTTCACTTTTCCCGTCTGTAAGAACATAGGGGTAGGGGCAGGGGTTCAAGGAGACGAGATTTTCTGATGTCATTTTTAGGTTTACCAGTGTGTTCCGAATGTAGTTCGTTGTTAAAGAGAGAAGTGGCTTGCTGTTGTTCTACTCATGCCGGGGATGCCCAGGGTGTTCTGTGAGTTTTTCTTAGGCGTCTCAGGAAGTCCAGGGGACCCTGGAATGAGGTGGGGGGCAGGTGCAGCCCATACCACCTGGCAGATGTAGGGGAGGGAGGAGTCCCGCTGGGGCCTTGAGCAGCCACAAAGGCAACCGGAAACAAAGCCGCCCACATCGGTGTTTCCTTGGCCCCGCCCCCACACCTCCAGAGCCCCCTGTCAGTTGCTGTGAGGAAAGGGATTGGGGCTCCCCCACCTCCGAGTCCTGACCCACATCCTGCCACAGCCTGGCTGTCCTGGTGAAAACAGGAGGTTTTGTAGGGCTACGCCCCAGGGGATGACGGGCTTGGGAGCCAGATCCCTTCAAGGACCCACAACAGGCCCCGGCCTGGCCCCTTCCAGCATCCCACTTGCCCTCCAGCCTTTCTGTTCTGGTGTCTGTTGTGGCTTTCCCCACTGCCCCCTGAAGCTTAGGCACACCTGTGTGTGCAACACATTTTTCAGAAGAGGGGGCCCAAATGTCTGTCAGCTTCTCAGAGGAGTGTGTGACCCAGAAATAGTGGCACAGGCCAAGGTCTGCCGCATATGTGTTCTGTCCAGTAGCTGTCCCAACATCCCTCCCTAACCCCAACAGCCATGCGTCCCTACCCCAACCCCCGCTTCCTGATGGTGCGGATGGGTGGGAAAAGTCAGCCCCTTCTCTAATTTGCCAAGTGACCTGGGGCAAGTCATTTTTCATCTCTGTGGACCTGTTTCCTCATGTGTCAAATGGAGATAAATGACTCCTGCATCATAGCCACTGGGTTGGCCTGAGGCCTGTTGGTGCAAGGCAAGAACTGGTAACAATAACTCCCCAGCAGAGTGCCTGCTTCGAGCGGGCCCTCTCACGGTCACCTTCCCGGACCCTCGTAGGAAGGGAGGCTGTGGTGCACAGCTTTCCATGTCTTGACCAAGGTCACATAGGTAGAAGCTGAAGACCTGGGATTTGAACCCAGACAGAGGATCCCCAGAGCTGACACAGGTGCGGAGCTGGATCAGATCCCACCCCTGCTCCATTAGGAGCAGCCATTAACCATCTCTAACCTGTGGTTTCCTCATCTGAAGAATGGGGGCGATCACAGCGCCTACAGCATAGGGGTTGGTAGGACGAGAGGGGCACGAGAGGTATGGAGCCCCCAGCACAAGTGAGGAGTCAACAAAAGACAGGCCGTTCTGCAGGGCAGTTGTCCTCCCTCCTCCTCCCCTGGGCGAGATGGCCACTGACGGAGATGCCGAGGCCACCGCTCAGCCAGCCGGGGCCATGGAAGTCAGGGCTGCTGGAGCGTGCAGCTGCCCGAAGAGAGGCTCATGGCTGTTTATCCTCTTTGCCAGGGGACTCATTGGTGCCCCCCGAGGTGGACTTTGACAGGCTGCTGGCCAGTCTGAAGGATCTCAGTGAGCTGGTGGTAGACGGTGACACGCAGGTGACACCAATGCCTGGTGGAGCACGGCTCCATGTCCTTGAGCCCATCCCACTGAAGCTCTATCGGAATGGCCTCATGATGTTCGATGGGCCCTTCCGGCCCTTCCATGACCCCTCCACACAGGTAGGAGTGGTGGGGAGGGGAGACAGGCCGCTCTGGTGGCCTTGCCCTGCCCTCCCTGACCATTAGCTGGAGATGGGGGCGGGCAGCTCAACCTACCCTCCATAGGTACCCAAGTCCACGTGCAACTTGGACTTGCAACCCCCGCACCCCCCCCCAAGTCCTGGAGCCCTGAGAACATCCAGAGTGTGATCCACCGGGTAAATCCAGGGCGCAGGGCTGGTTGTCCAGACGGGAAGCAGAGCAGGGGGCACGGCACCGGTCCAGCTGGGTCTCACTCTTCCAATCCCTGCCGCAGCGCTGCCTCCGAGACCTGCTGGATGGCTTCTTCCCCTCAGAGCTCCAGCGGCTGTACCCCAATGGGGTTCCCTTTAAGGTGATGGGCTGCTCCTCACACGACCCTGTGTGAGGAGTTTGGAGGGGGTGGGGGCATCCCCCAGTCTGAGGTGGGAAGCCACTCTTCCTCCACAGGGAGCCCCAGTCTGATGACCTCTGGGAGGAGGGTGAGCCTCAGCCTGGCGGAGAGGGGAGTAGGGAGCCTGCAGGGGTCTCAGTTGCTCCATCAGCGAGGGCTGGAGGCTAAGCAGCAGGCAGTGCCCCCTGCTGGCACCCTGGAGGCACAGCCTTCAGCCTTGCAGGGCCACCGCCCCTCCCCAGCATCCAGGATACCTTGACAGCCCCGGGTTCCCGAGGTTCTATGCAAAAGTGGCCTGGCTTGCCCTGGAGGCTCTGGAGCCATCTGTTGGGTGTGGAAGGCAGTGCTATGGGGGACAAACGTTGGGACTAAAGGACAGGGCATGCGCCAGCCCCCTGCCGGCAGGGGTGGGTGGGAGTGAGACGAGGGGTGTGGTGGTGGGAACATCCCGGGGCGGGGGGGTGGTGTGTCACTGCACAGCGAGGGTACATACGTGAGGGCGTGTGCACCGCCACCACCTGGGCTTGGAAAACCGTGAGTCATGACCGGGGGTGTTTGAGGCAGTCCATGCCAAGACGGGGCTTTGCCCTCTTCTAACACTGTGGTGCCTTGTTTCCTGGCTGGCTCCCGAGAGGGGCTCTCTGGGAGGATGGCAGTACCGCAGCTCCAGCCGGTGTGCTTGCAGAAGCTGGGCCCAGGTTGGGGACAGTAGCATGAACTACAGCTCTCTGATCTCTTGGGGGCCTCAGTTTATCTGTAAAATGGGGATTACTTCAGACTGTCCCTTGAGCCTATTCCTGGGGGGGAGGGTGTGGCGGGGGCTGGTGTGGGGAGGCCTCTGTTTGGGCAAGAGTAGGGTGGAGCCCAGGGTTGAAGGTCTAGGCCCACCGCTGCCGACCCTTCCTTCTTGCCAGGTGAGTGATCTGCGCAATCAGGTCTACCCGGAGAATGGGCTGGACCCGTTCCCAGGGGAGGGCCGCGTGGTGGGCCGTCAGAGGATTCACAAGCCGCCGGGCAGGATGGAGCACCCAGGTTAGCGTGGACCTTCGGCTGAGCTGTGGGATGATTTCCGGGTGGCCTCCTCCACCATCACCCATTCCTCACAGCCCCTCCCCAGGCCAAGGCTCCCAATGCACTCCCTGCAGGCTCCAAGATGACTGCGGAGAAGTTTCTGAACAGGCTCCCCAAGTTTGTGATCCGGCAAGGGGAAGTGGTTGACATCCGGGGACCCATCCGAGACACCCTGCAGGTGAGGCCAGCCCTAGCTCCCCCAGCCTTCTTAGGCTCCCTGGCCCAACCTGCCTGAGAAGAGGCTTGTCTGGAGATTCGGGCTCAGGGGCTGCTGAGGAGGGCCTGGATGGAGAGATGAGGCTCTCAGGGCAGTTTCACTGTCTCCTGAAAACAGTCTGGGGAGGGCTCTGGACTGACACCCAGAGAGGGGCTGGACTGGCGGCCTTGTGGCTATAAGAGGCGGAAAGCCAGAGTCTAGGCCAGGGGTGAGTCCAAGGACTGGGCCACCTCCTCAACGTCCAGGCCGGAATATCTAAATCAGTCCTGGATCCCCCTTCCTGGCCCTTAGAACACATCATCCTCCCTCCTCCCTCCCCATCCTGCCGCTCCTCCCCCATCTCCACCTGTGAAACCTCAGTTTCCTACCACTCTACCTCCTCCAAGTCCTGTTTGATCTGTCCATCTCTAGCACACCTCCCAAATCCATCTCTTCTCTCCATTCCCTCTGCCCACCTTCCTAGGCTTGGCCCCCGAGTGGCTGTCTCAGACACCTGCAGTAGCTTCTCGCTGACCTGTCACCCCCACTCCTGCCTTGCCGGCTGCCCTCCCCCAGCAGTCTCTCTGTGTGTAAAACATAAATTGGATCTGGGCTTTCCCTGTTGAAACCCTCCAGTGGTTCTTGGATAAGGCCAAGCTCGCATCCTGGCACTCAAGGCCCACCATCCCTTGCTGGTCCCCTTGCCATATCTAACATTTTCTTTCTTCCAGTCCAACCTGATTCTCAGCTTCAGCCACGGGAACGGCTAACACTTTCTCAAACGTATCATCTCCCAGAGAAGGCTTCTCTAACCAGGGCTTCTTTCCCTGCATTCCATTTCTGTGGCCTCCTCATCCTTAGTCACAGCTTAGGGTGAAGGGAAGGCCTTCCCTGACCCACGCTGGGTTAGGCCTCCAGCCCAGTCATCGTGTGGGGTTCTGTCTCCCTCACTAGCCTGAGGGACCTTAAGGCTTCTTAGGGGAATGATGGGGCTGCGTCCCAAAGCTTTCCTTCCATTTCCTCCCCCTTTAGCTCACTGGTCTCATCCGCCGTTGTTCAGGGAGAAGTCCCCTCTAAGGGTTGGGGGGAAGGTGTCTCTGGCAGGACCCAGGACTCTGTCTCCTTTCATCAATGCCTTCCAGAACTGCTGCCCATGGCCTGCCCAGGTCCAGGAGATTGTGGTGGAGACACCAGCCTTGGCTGCTGAGCGTGAGAGGTGAGGGCAGAGTGAGGAGGTGAGGAACTTGGGGTTGGGCCACCAGGGGGCACTGATGGCCTTTAGGCCCACAGGAGCCAGGAGTCACCCGAGTCACCGGCGCCTCTGCTCTCCATGCTGCGCATCAAGTCTGAGAACGGTGAGAAGGCCTTCCTGCTGATGATGCGGCCCGAGGACACTGTTGGTGATGTGCGCTCCCTGCTTGCAAAGGCCAGGTGGGTATGGGGCGGGGCTGGCAGCTACAGGGGGTCTCTGGGCCCAGGACTGGTCTGATCCATTTTGCCCCATCCCCAGGGCTGTGGACGCCACCAGCTTCGAGATCATCAGTACCTTCCCACCCACAGTCTACAGCGACAACACAATCACACTGCAGGCCGCGGGCCTGGTGCCCAATGCAGCGCTGCTGCTTCGGACAAGCCGGGCCCCGCCGCCTGCTCCAGGCCCCAGCTCCAAATAAAGAGCCCGCTCCCACACAGGCTGCTCCATGAGGCTCTCTTGGCCAGGCAGACCCGCTGGGCGCCAGGGAAGGCCGGGGAGCCCCTGCTAGGCTGGGGCGGGGGGCGGTACCGACCCGCCCCCTCTGTAACATGAGCCCCAGCTGGCAGGCCTGGCTGCTGGGTCTTTGTCCTCTAGGTTCCTCTTTCTTCCCAGAAGGGCTAAGCAGATCCAGTGGAGGGAAGGCGGGCTCCAGCTCAGCCTCAGCAGGCTAGAAGAACCTCCTGTGCGAGTGTGCCAGCGGCGGATCCCTGTGCGCAGATGGGGACACTTCCTCAACACTCTGCACAAAGCCTCTGCACTCTGCACTGTCCCCAAACTGGGTGAACCCACTTCCATGACACATGCGCTCAGAGCCAGTTTGTTGGAGCCCCGGTCAGCGGCCACATGGCACAGACACGTTACCAGCTGGCACACAGATGTGCCACACTCACCAAACCAGGTGTGTCAAGACACCATCACCTGCGTGTGAATCAGGAGGTGACCCACCCACACTGGTTCCAGAAACAGAGATCCGCATGGTTATGCATGTGCCAGACATACACCCACAGACATGCACAATCACACACATGGGTGCCACACGGGAGACTGCTCAGGCGAGCTGCCCTCAGGAGCACAGGCTCAGCACTGTCCCATCTACCAGCCTCGCTCAGAGCAAGAGCCCAGGTCATATCAAACAGACACGCTGTCAGTGGAATGGGACATTTAATTGTCTCTAGGGTGCTCCCAGGACGGGGAATGCGGGGCCTTTCGCAGAGCCCTGGCTAATGGAAGCAGCAAAGGCACCCATCAGCCAGTGCCAGGCAGGGTGGCAGCCTCAGGGCCTGGCTGAGGACAGCCAGCACTTGGGCTGTTGCTTAAGACAATTTCTGAAACTAGTGGGTAAGGAATGCTGCCTTTGAACAGAGGGGAGGAGAAGGGGCTTGGGTTGGGGGGAAAGATTCCAAGGTCAGAAGGTTTTAGGATAACAGGGAGTTGGTCATAAGGTCCTTCATGGCCGGGCGGTGGCTGGGGGGCATATGGTGACGGGAGTCCAGCGGGCTCAGGCCAGCTTCAGGAACTCCTGCAGTGTGTTTTGTTCCACAGCCTCCACGAAGAGCTCATAGTCCTAGGGGAGGGGAGGGGAGAGGCGGTCACCTGAGTGCTGGCATTTTGTCTCAGGTCTGACTGACTTCTGACTCAGAAGTCCTCCTACACTTCCCCACTCCCAGCCCCCGGGGCCCATACCCCACAGTACTGGTCCCCGTTGACAATCTGGGGTGGGGTGGCCTTGGGGTTGCCCGCCAGGGCTCGCATCTCATCCCGCAGGGCGTTGTCCTGGGAGATGTCCACTAGCTGGTACTGGATGCGCTTCCCATCCAGGATGCGGGTCACCTCGCTCTGCTGGGACTTGATCTGGGGGTAGAGGGCGGGCAGGGGTTAGTGAGCAGGCTGGAGGACTGACGGGGGAACCCTGGGCAGAAAGAAAGCGGCTGTGGCCAGTAGTTTTTGTCCCCCTCCACAGCCTGGGCCAGCGTTCTGGCCACTAGGGAGTTAGGACGATGAATCAGGCTTGCAGTGGTGCAGGATGAGAGGGACCACCATGCGGAGGAGAGTCAGAACGAAGAAGGGAAGTGGGATAAAGTTCGGGGGGGGGGGGCAGGGGAGAGAGGAGCTCAGCGAGGGGAAGGCAGGGCACGCTCGGGTGGAGGCTGGTAAGGGGCTACCCCCGCCCAGGTACGCACAAATTGGAGGAGACGAAGGGCACCATCAGGACGTGATGGGGTGGTAGTGGGGTTGCAGGGAGTGCGTGTGGGAGCAACGGGATGGGCGTGGGCAGCTCGTGCTGGGGCTGCTAAAGCTCCAGGATGCCCAAAAGAGGGGTTCGAGTCTGGAGCCCACCTCGGGACCGGACCCCAGAGGCCGAGCCCCGCACCTCGTCGCCCCCCACCCCCGTCCTGCCCCCGCCCTGGGGGTAGGTCTCGGGCGCCGGGCCGTAGCGCCCAGACTGCGCCGGCCGCGCTCCCCGCCAGTGCGGCCCAGGCGTGCACTCACTTCGCGGGAGCCGGTGACCGACGTGCTGTAGACGCGCAGGCCGCTCATGCTGCGGGTGGACTGGCAAGCCGACAGACGGACGGACGGCTGTAGCGGGAGCTGCACGGCCTAAAGACGACGCCGCGGCGCTCGGGAGCGGTTTCCTTCCTGCTCAGCCCGCGAGTCACCGCTCTCGGGACCAATGGGCGGCACGGGTAGGCGTGCGGCCGGGGCGGAGCCTGCGCGACCCCGCCCTGCGCGCCGCTGTCCCCCTCCCCTCCCCCTTCAGTGGCCGGGCTCGCCAAGGACCCCAGGGCTCAGAGAGGCCGCCCCGTTCGGCTTTCCCCAGATCTGGGGCTCAGTGTGAGGCTGGGGAGTAGCCTGGGTGGCCGGAAAGGCCAGGGAAGGGAGGGTGAGGGTGTGGCAAAGGCCGCCTCCTCAGCCTCCCCCCGGGCTAGCTGCACCCAGACACCCACCCCTTGGTGCCACGATACCACAGCGCAGCTCAGAGCTTTGAAGGCTTGGGCCGTTTTGGAACGTACAGTGCCTTGGCTAGGGGACCTCACTCTAAGGGACCCCCTCCCACAGTCCCCAGGGTGACACTCACACCTGGGTAACCCCGTGGCACACCAAAACAGGGAGAGCACCCCCCCCCCCCCCCGCCCCGGGAGATTTCCCCAAAAGTTCCTCTCTACTCAGGCAGGTTTAGACAAGGAAGGGTGGTGGCCAGAGACAGGGCCACACCCTCAAGGCACCAGATGGAGGCCAAGGTAAGAGGCTGATAGCTCTAGAAAGGGTGGAGGCAGAGGCTGGCCAGCACTCCTGAGAGCCTGGTCCACCCTCGTGAAATATCCACAGATGATCTTAGGGTGGCCCTAGCTCAACCTTGATTCCAGATGGCATTCTAAAGCTGCTCCTGCTCCCAGAAAAAATGGGAAGGGGTTCAGAGGGAGCAGATTCTAGCAACCAGTCCAAATTTGGAGGCTTGGCTGGCTGTCTGGGGTGGGACAGGATTCCCCTCACAAGTCCTCCCCAGGTCCAGGGCTTGAATGGCAGCCCAGGAAGATAACCCCAGCCCCCTAAAGCAAACAGTGCCCTGCCTGGCTCCAGAGAAGCCGCCACCTCACAGCAACCTAGAGGCAGCTGACTTCCTCTCAGATGATTACGGAAACTCTCTCCAATGACAGACTTGCTCAATGACTCGGGCAACTTCACCCAATAGAAAGTTGTGTGGGAAGAGCTCTTATTTGTCCCCACAGAGAACAGAGGAGCGGAAGTGGTAGAAACAGCCGTGAGGCTGGACCTGCCAAAGGTTCCTCCTTGCTGCCATCTGGGGAACTTGGCTGAACACCCAGCCCTTGGCCCCAACAAGCCAAAATGAAGGGTGGAGTAAGGGATGGTGATGATGGTGATGGAAAACTGAAGAGTTTGTTAAATATTTTATTTTGTAATCAAAATAGGCAATACAAACCAGTTGACATAACAAGGATTCATATAAATAACTGCTTATAAACTTTGAGGAAAAATACCCGTGAGCATGGTGGCTGGGCTCCCAACACAGGGTGGAGACCAACCAGGCAGCTCTGCTTTTAGGAGGCAGGAAGGAGCCCAGAGGCTGAGGGGGATGGCTGGGTGGGGCTGTTCTGAATGGAAGGGATACATCACTCCATAAATAAGACACAGAATTGTAAAAACACTTAAGGAGTCTCATTCAGACCCAAGAGTGAGGTTCAGGATGCTTCTCTGACTGCTCAAGGCTTACCAACAAACTCCTGGTGGCTGGCTCTGGGATTGCTCAGTGCTCCTGCACACCCTTCCAAGGCCCTGGCTGGCTTGGCTCCAGATCTAGTGCAGGCCTGGGGCCAGCCCAAGAACCAGATACAAACAATTGTGTTGTGAGATGCCCCCTAAATGAGGAGGCATGAGAAACCAGAAAGCAGAGGGTCCAAAGGCCCCAAACAAAACCCAGCAAATAAGCTATACCTTAGAGCCAAACTATACTGGGTACTCTGAACTCTCAAGAAGCCGCAGAGCAAGAAAAGGAAAGGACCCTGCCCACAAACAAAAGAGAGGCACAAGTCAGGGCTGGACGCCAGCCCTTAGACACCAGGAGGAGGAGGCGAACAGCTTGACAGTTGCCCCGTGGTATTCTAGGGGAAAATCCTGCTCAAATCCAGAACCATAAAGAAGAGTTTGCAAGGGGGCTACCTGACTAGCCTAAGAAAAGAGAAGGGAGCTGTGCTAACCACATGGCCAGGCCCCCAAAGGACAGGGCAGCTGGAGAGTGGGGCATCCTACAAAATGGCATGACAGCACAGATGGAGGAGGCCTGGATAGAATCCTTAGGCCAATTCTAGTGGGTACTTTGCTAATAAACAGATCACCCTGAGGTGTCTGTGAGAACAAGAGCCCTGAGGAAGCAGCAGTGGGACCAGGCCTAAGAACACCCAAGAAAGCCAGCTCAGATCCCAGGCAGGCTGGCCTGCTGGCCTGAGAATTCTCACATGGCCTTCATGACTGGTACTCAGACTTTCTATGCCCTTCTACTGAACTCTGCCACCAGCGGGACCAAGGTATGGAGTGGGAATGAATACGGATCCATCCCAGAGGATGGAAAAGGGAATTGAGCAGCCTGTTTAACTTTGACATCAGCCAGGGGCTGGAACAGTCTGTGAGGACTTATCAGGTAACCTGCAGAAGTTAATTAGTAACTCACCCTCAAAGGGTAAATCCAATGATAGGACAAATGCAATCCAACAACGCAAAGCCAGTGTGCAGCAGGGCAGGCACTGTTCCTTAATAAGCCCATGGCCCCAGACGCAGGTTCTTAACCCCCTCCACCCCTTCTCTCTGGGAACAGCAGCAGACAGGAGGCAAGAGATTGTCAGGGCAGAACCTGGGCAGACTGGCGCTCAACAGACCAGATCTTCCCTGGGGGAACAGAGCGTGTGCCACCCCAGCATTCTTCACTGTGTAACACAGTTTTCTCCCATATCCTGGGCATATCTGTCTGACATGGTGGTCCTTAAGTCCTCGATGTCACGGCGCAGCTGTTGAACCTCTAATAGTTTCCTCTTGATCACATCCGGCTTCTGCAAATCCAGCTGAGTCCCCGGGTGCTGTGCAGCTGAGTAGGAGAGCATTTCAAGAGAATGTTAGTTAGGAGGTGCTTTCATGGAGGGGACAGTATGGATAAGTAGTTCTCTGAGGCCCATGATCTGGGGACATGGCACATTGTTTCAAGTAGGCTCCATGCTGGGCTTGAACTCATGACCCTGAATGAGATCAAGACCTGAGTCAAAATCAAGAGTCGGGTGCTTAATCCACTGAGCTACCCAGGTATCCCAGGACACAGCATGTTTTTACAAAAGCAAATGGAATAGTGGGCTAAGAACTTGCTGCCTCGGGGCCATTTTTTGTTTGTTCTGCATTCAGGTATCCAATCTGTTTCCAAAACAGATTTACTGTCTACTCTGCTAAACACGTTCGCTAACTCCCAGCGGGCAGTGACCAGGCTTACAAAGCCTTGTTCACACATTACCATAACTGATGGGAAAGTTGGGTGGGGGTGACAAGAGAATGAAAGCCACTCTTCCCTGCATCCCAGACCCGTCTGAAGACTCACAGTGAATGCCCAGGAGCAGGGAGAGATTGGGGTCATGGCCCTGGGCCCTCTGGGTCACAATGCTACAGACAGCCTGCAGATCTTGAAGGCAACTGGCCAACTCGTGGTGCAGCTCAAATGCCAGCTGGGCTGTGTCTGGTGAAGACAGGGACCCTGGTTGGGCCTGGCGCAGGTGTTCCTGGAGTGTCAGATTCTTCTCAATCAGGTCCTGGTTCTGCACTGAAAGCTGAGCAGACAGATGGGCAAACATGTTAAACCACGCCCAGGGAAGGGCAGAATATCTGTACCTGTGTGTGGCTATGTATGAGTCACAGGTGATACCCCCCTCCTAACCCCTACCAACAGGCTTAGCACTCCCCCAATCCCAAAATTGGGGGAGTGCTAAATTCTAAATTCTCCTGCAGGTAGGTCGGGCCTGTAGGGTTCCAGCACTGGAGAGGAAACCACTCCCCAGCAGACTCTGAGTCACCAGCCTCCAGGTTTCTGTTCAGGAGCCAGAGAAGATACTCCCGCCCCTCGGAACTCTATCTGAAGCCAGTCCCTCAGCCAACTCTGTTAACCAGGCTATTAGAGAAGGCTTAACGTGAACTGTGAAATCTGAGGAGACACTGGTTTCAATCTCTCCCTGCCACCCTGACAAAAGTGGCCACCGGCCAGCCTGATCAGAGTGTGTTAGAGGAATAAAGGGGGCAAGAAAGACAACAATACAGCTAGCAGCCAGCCACTGGGTGGGGGTTGGAGAAACTAGAAAGCTGGAGAACACAGTGCTAGAATGTGTCCTGCCTGCCTTTTCACACCTTCACCTCAGTAGAGTCAGGCTTCTCTACAAAGACCAGCTACTCATGTATGTCCGTGTCTCCTTCCCTCCCTCTCCCATAACACCTTGACCCATCCTCCCCTCCCTACTTCTATTCTGATTTAAAGACACTGAATACAGTTCCTTCTCCAATCCCAGCCCTTCCCCCTCACTGGGCCATGTGACAATCCCAGCTCGGAGATTCCTTTGTAGGTCAGTGAACTTGGTCACCCCTTGCTGACAGCTCTGTTTATTCCATGAGGACACCAAGCTCTCAGTCTTCTTGAACCCTTCCTCCCCAACCCCACATACCTGTGGCTACAGAAAGACAAAGGGAGAGAGACAGACTTCTCACATCCAAAAAGCATTCCTGGGTAATTATGGCCATTCTAAGATGGGCTTAGGACCTTTAATATAAAGGATAGTGCTATGTCCCTTCCCATTCTTCTGCCAAAAAACCTCAGGAGGGACTGTCAGACACGAGGGCTCTTGTGGAAGTAGAGATGGGGGGGGCATGGTTCACAGAGCAATCAGGTTTGCGGAGGAAGTACCCAGCAGCGAAGCTGATGCCACTCACCTCCTTCACCGCTGTGCGTAGCTGCTGCAGAGCTGTCTCCCTCCACTGGGCTTCCTCTTTCAGGGCCTGGCTTGTTCCTTCTTCCTGAGCCACTTCTTGCTCTAGGGTCTGAATGGTAGGATTACACAGGAGTAGTAGCAAATCTGGTTCAGACCCGTATCACCTCTGGCCTGGACTACACAGTAAAGCCCCACCCCACCACACACACACTGCTGGGAGACGACCTTAGAACGGCCCTGATCTGCTACTTCCCTTTGAAACCCTCCTGTAGTCGCTGACCATGTACTCACTAGAGGCCAGCTTCTCAGCAGGGCATTCCAGGCCAGTTTGGCCCTTACCTCCTTTTCTAACCATATCTCTTTCTACCTTCCCCACAGCCTCCACTCCAGTCACATCAAATGACTGAAAGCCTTCATACCCAAAGGCTCCAGCTCCAATGCTGTTGTGTACTCTCCTTCCCCTTTGCGCAGGCTACTCTTCCCTGCCTGTCACCCAGGAAATCTTCAAGGCCCACCTGAGCCTTCCTCTATCTGCAAATCAGATCCTATTCATCATACTCTCACCCTGCTACTCATACCTCTGTCATGGTTCATTTGTACATTCGTTGGCTGTGCATGTGATTCCCACCCACCCCCATAACTTTCTTGAGGGCAGGGAATATCCATTCAGTTCAGCTCAATATTTACTGAGCAATTACCGTGACACTCACTGAGGATACTGAGGATACAAACAATACCTGTCTTTGAGGAGCTCATAGCCAAAGCCCTTGAGAATACTGTATACTAAATGCTTCTGACAGAGATAAAGGGAAGGAGAGCGCTCCCACAGGCACTTAATCTAGTTGGGAGGGAGGGAGGGAGGGAGGGAGGAAGAGTGTGTGTTTGTGAAGGGATGGTCAGGGTCAGGGAGAGGGAGGTATTTATGTTTGCTATTTTTTTGCCTTTCATTTTATTCATTCCAATCCCCTCCCCCAATTTTGAAACTTATTTGAATCAAGTATTTAAAAGTTTTCTGAATTTTCAATTTTGTATTAATAAAAAAATGTAACTGCCAAAGAAGAACATCTCATCACCATAAAATACCCTAGGTGGCCATTTTGAATCTACCTGATTCCAGCAAATTCACCTGATACCTTAATTTGCCTGAGGAATTTCACCATGGGTAAATGTACCACTTAAGTGTAGGGCTTTTTCAACCTTTGTGGAACCTGTGGGTTCCAGGAAATGTATCTGAGATCCATTAGAAACTCTACCAAGAATATGGGATTTTAAATGGGTATAAACACTCACTAGGCTTGACTATCCTTACAGGACTTGAAATAGGGGAACTAGACAGACACAGCCTGACCCGCATGATGGCAAAGGCAGAATTGCAGCTTTGAGCTGTTCTCAGAGAGAGTGTATTTCAATTGTTTTGATGTGAAAACCTCTTTTGGAATCCAAAGACAACCTGAGTGAACCTGCTTTACTTAGGATTTTTTCTTGTTGCTTTTGTTGTTGTTGTTGTTTTAAGATTTTTTATTTCTTTATTTGACAGACAGAGATCACAAGTAGGCAGAGAGGCAGGCAGAGAAAGAAAGGGAAGCAGGCTCGCTGCTGAGCAGAGAGCCTGATGCGAGGCTCGATCCCAGGACCCTGGGATCATGACCTGAGCTGAAGGCAGAGGCTTTAACCCACTGAGCAACCCAGGCGCCCCCGACCTTTTTTTTTTTTTTTTTTTAAGATTTTTTATTTATACCTACCTAGGATTTCTTGGGAGAATCCAATTAAGGACACCCCCCCAACACACACTCTGGCCAAGAATAGAAACCAAGAGTCATCTTTAATTTTTCCTTATTCTTTAACTCCCTACATCTTGTCAATCACTGATTCCTCTCAATTTTACCTTCTAAAATTCATTTAAATCTGTTCCCTCACATCTCCTTGTTATGCTGCCTTATGCCAGGTTCCTTCATCTCTCACCAGGATTTGCAATATTCCTCCAGCTTCCAGCCCTGCCCCTCTCCAAATGCCACTCTTCTTTCCACACTCAAGCCTGAGTTGCAAACCTAATTACATCACATCCAAATTAAATTCTATACTAGATTCCCATGGGGCGCCTGGGTGGGCTCAGCCAGTTAAGCATCTGGCTCTTGATTTCAGCTTAAGTCATGATCTCAGAATCTTGGGATTGAGCCCCGCATCAGGCTCCACACTTAGTGGGAAGTCTGCTTGAGATTCTCTCTTCCTCTCTCCCCCTGCCCCTCCCCTTGCTTATGAAATAAATAAATAAATAAATCTCTGAAATAAATAAATAAATACATCTTTATAGTAGATTCCCATCACCTATCAAAAGAATAAAAGCAAACTTAGTTGGAAAGATGAAGCCCTCCCATAGTCCAGTTGCTATTCACACCACCTTACTTCGACAATATCGAACTGCTTGCCGCTCTGTGTGCAAACTCTGTTTCATGCCTCCATGTTCCCATCAGTACTATTCCTTCTATCTGGAATTCCAAAACCAACCTATCCAGCTCTTCTTCTTTGCCTGGCTAACTCTTCCTCCTCCTTCCAGGCTCATCAGCTCCAGAAATCCTTCTTTAACCTCCCCTGCTCTGACTGACTCTTCCATGTTCCCCTAAAGTAACATGACATTGAGCTCACAAGACTGTGCTAAAACCCCTTCCCAACAATGACTGTAGGCGAAAAGCATTGATCGGGTCTCATTCTTGCTATACTCCCAACACTGAGCAAATTGTATGACACAGAATAAAGAGTTGGCTAAATTCTAGAGATTCCATCAAGTCCTGTGTACCACATCACAAGGACACCAGCTCACCTGTACTTGTAAACGCAGCTGATCCATTTTCTGCTGTTGCTTCTCCACAATCTGAAAGGCAAAGTTATCAAGGAAGGCTATAAGCATGGGCTGATGGTGAGGCTGGACTATAAGAAGCTACACAAGGATCTGTAGTCTGGCTATTAGCCCACTGGCTATATATAGGGCTATTATAGTTCAATATATTTATATATATATATATATATATATATATATATATATATATTTATATTTATATTTATATTTATATTTATATATATTTAGTTCTACTTACAGAAGTATAATCCAGACTCCCTGTCCTAGCTAACTAGCTTCACACTTCGGTGTTCTACTCACAAAGAGGTTTAAACAGGAATGTAGTGTGGACCTATAACCACTACTGCGGGGGAGGGGGATCCCACCCTGATGAGTGGAATGAACTTCATATATAACCAGAGTATATTTTGGTTCTTTAGTAAAGGACATGACTAAAAATTCAGTTTAATGAAATCTATCCTATCCAGGGCTGTGCTGGATGCTATTATTTATAGCTTTGGTCACACTGACTAAGGAGAGAACCTGAACAGGCCCAGTTTCCTGTCCTCTGAGACCTCAGGTATTCTCTGAACCATTTCTGGATCTTCTTTTTTGCTAACCTGACATCAGTCTCATCAACAGGTTTGGAGACTTTCTTCTCTGCTGAATTAGGGCCACCTCACTGGTTAGAACTCTGCCCAATGCAACAGGTCTGTATGGGGCATAAACATGAATGAAATGCACGAAGCTTCAATGCACCATTTTGGAGCATCTAGTTTGGACGTTCAGAAGCATATCCTCCCCTAACTCTGCTTGCTTGTCATAAGGATAAATCCCTAAATGCAAAGATTATGCAGAGGTGACTTCTCAGAAAAGGGAGGAAAGCTCTGGCCCAGGGCCAGAAATTCATGGTTCCTTCCCAGTACACAATCTTTTCTTTCCTCTCAGCCTGCCCTCTACTGCTGCCCGAACACGCTCCGTCACCTTTCGAAGGGAATCACATTCTTTCTGCCAGGACTCCATTTCCACCTTTGGACCTTCTCCACTGGCCTCCTCCATACTCTGCTTATCTTGCAGGCTGAAAAACAGCAACCTCTTTAAGAATTTTAGTTGGACGGATGCGGCTTTGACTCCTGATTCCGTTATTTACTGTATATTTTGGGCAAGACACTTAGGTGATTCCAACTTGTAGCTGGGCATAAGTTTAGGTCTGTTATAACATAGGGTGTGTCACACACAAGCTGCCTAATGCGTTAGTTCCCTTCCCTAGAGGCCAGCATCTATCTAATATGTGCCACCAATTCTCCACCCGCCCAAAGCTCTTCTATATTTGTTTTGATATTTAAAAATAAACATTCATCATATGTATTTAGATTATAAAAGTCATATATGTATACTGCAGAAATTTTGGAAAATACAAAAAAAAAACTTTTTTCTTGGCACACAAAGTCTAGGGCAGAGTCGACTTTGACCCCCAACCTCTCTGTTGACTCCAACCAATGGTCTCCTCCAACAGATCCCCACAATCACTTTCATCATGGTTCATCTGCTGAGATAAACACGGCCACTGTGATAGAATATGGGATAAGAAATCCAATCCACCCCATTAGAAACTGGATTTGGTTCAAGAGGCTGTTGAAACACAGCCATCACATTTACAGAAACGGCAACTAATATGTAAGAAGCTCTCAAGACACCCTGAGAGAGTACATTATGGCATCTTGTTTTGTTCTTAGAACCTGTTGTGACCATTGAGAACAATCCCTAGGGCTGAAGAGAAACAGATGTTCCTGGTAGACTTTATCTTATAACCTTCAAAATGTAGATAACCCCCTCCTTTCCCAGTTCTTAACACCAGGATCTGCTTTGCAAATATACAGATAGCTAATTTCCCAGTTTATAAAGTGGTTCCCCTCATTCAACACATACGTACTCAGAAATTATTACCCAGTATTATGCCGGAGCACTAGGTTGGACCTTCTAAAGGATATAGTAACAAGCCCCCACTGCACCACTACATCCTCCCTTCTCCATCTCAAAGACCTATTCCTTACCCATAAGCAGCTTTCCTATTACTCACATTCCAAAGAAAAGTAAAGTGATTTGCCCAAAGTCACAAAGGTAGTGAGTGGGGTAAACTTAGCTCTGCTCCGTTCCTCAGCCACACTGGGGTATTTACCTATGTCTACTGGAGAGTTCTGCTCCTTTCTGTCTTAGGCTTTCCAGTTGAACCTCCTTCTCTCTGCAGGCTGCCTGGGTCTCCTCCAGCAAACTCTCCAGCTCGGTCACTCTCTCCTGCAGCTCTGTACTCTTCAACTCAGAATCCTTAAGCTGAGAGATAAGATTCCATGCTTAGGTCAACAAGCCAAGGAAGACTGTCTGGGTATCCCAAAAACTTTGCAGTTGAGTTGCAAACTTGACACATGTGAGTCCGGACATGACTCCTTTGGGTTTTTCCTTTCAGGAAACCGCAGTGTAACTGTGTACTGGAGAAGCTGAGACAGTGCCCCTGCTTGGCTACTCCCTGCTTGCCCCAGGTATGCCCAGATATTGCTACTACCTGCTGGCTCTGCTTCTGATGGTCTTCCAGGGTGGGCAGGTCAGCCAGGTAGCGTTCCAAGGTCTCAATACGCTGCTGCTTCTCCCGGTTCTGTTCTGATTCCTTCTGACATTTCTTTTTCAAATTATTGATATGCTTATCACGACCCTTTACCTAGGGAAAGAAGTGTCAAGAATCTGTCTTTACTGACTCCTCTAGGACTCTGAACATCACATTTTTTCTGAAGTGACCACCGTCTCTGCCCTTAGGACTGTAAATGTTCTATTACAATGAAGGCAGGGAGGTGATCAAATTTTACCATTTAAGATTAGGGCATAAACTGCAGAGTTAACACACCTGAACTTTCCAATCAAGGGTAGGGAAGGAGGGCTCCTTGGGCAGTTTTTAAAAACTGGTAGCACTTCTATATACAGGCATACCTGGGTGACACTGCGGGTTTGGTTCCAGACCACTGTGACAAAGCGAACATCACGATAAAGCAGGTCAAATGAATTTTTTGGCTTCCCAGTTCATGTAAAAGTTATGTTTACACTATTCTCTAGTATGAAGTGTGCGATAGCATGATATCTAAAACAAAAATGGATATGTCTTTAAAAATATTTAATTGCTGGCACGCCTGGGTGGCACAGTTGGTTAACCATCCAGCTCTTGGTTTCAGCTCAGGTTATGATCTTCCCTTCCTCAGGGAGGGCTCCCTGCCTCTCGGACTACATGGGTGGCTTCTGCCTAGTGCTGTGTACTTCTCCAGCCCACACTTCTAAACTCTTAGAATTTCCCAAACAATAGGAGTGTCTTTGTTATTTATAGTGGTCTGGTCTGTCCTGGTGTCCCTAAACACCACACGATTTAAAAGTTAAGCAATCATCTAGAAGGGTTAACGAGACTCTAAACTTCTAGAAGAAGGAAATGTGTCTATTTTGCTCATTATCATAGCCCCAATATGATGTGCCAAGCACAATGCTTGGCACAGAGTGGGCACACACCAGATTTGCTGAATGGAGACTTTTCTTCACTATTATGTTTTTTATTTTGGGTTATGAAAAAAGGATGCTGAAGGAAGCAAGTGAAAGCAGAGAAAAAGGCAGATCTCCTGATATCAAAAGTAATCAAAGACCTAATATAATCCAAAGATAAGAAAGTACTAAGAGTAGACAACCTGAAAATCAGCCAAAGGCTTTACTCCAGATATAACCTGTACCCTTTCAAGCTCTAAACCAGTGATTCCCACATTTTAATATGCTTCAGACTCAACTGGGAAGCTTATTGAAAATGCTGATATCCCAGAGAAATCTCCCTCTTCTGATTTCTCCAGAGAATAAATATCCAGTCTCCTGTTGGGGAAATCTTTAAATTAAAAAAAAATGGTGGACTGGGCGCCTGGGTGGCTCGGTGGGTTAAGCCTCTGCCTTCAGCTCGGGTCATGATCTCAGGGTCCTGGGATCAGTCCCCACATCGGGCTCTCTGCTCAGTGGGGAGCCTGCTTCCCTCCCCGCTCTCTGCCTGTCTCTCAGCCTACTTGTGATCTCTGTCAAATAAATAAAATCTTAAAAAAAAGGGGTGGATTACCCCGAGATGTTTATCTCTTCTCCCCTTCAAAACATCTCTAAAATGACAGAAAGGAAATAAAATACTAAATTTAAAAAGTTAATAGGAGGGGCACCTGGGTGGCTCAGTGGGTTAAGCCTCTGCCTTCGGCTCAGGTCATGATCTCAGGGTCCTGGGATCGAGCCCCGCATTGGGCCTTCTGCTCAACAGAGAGCCTGCTTCTCCCTCTCTCTCTCTCTGCCTGACTCTCTGCCTACTTGTGATCTCTGCCTGTCAGATAAATGAATAGAATCTTTAAATTAAAAAAAAAAAAAGTTAATAGGAGACAAAAGTGTATGAGAGATTTCAATGTGTTTATAGAAGATCAAAGACAGCAGATAAATTACTTAAGAGTTATAACCTGCAGTGGGAGTTACAGACAACTTGGTAAACATGGCACCCTTCAAACCCCACAAGTACCTCTGTATTTGAAGTACCAGGTACGTCTGTGGCAGGTATCAGCCATAGATCTGAAAACAGGGCACTCACTGGAAATCTACATATAGGTTAGCTGGATACCATTTTTACCCTAGATTTTCCCAACAGGAGACTGGTGGAGATTTATTCTCTGGAGAAATCAGATGAGGGAGATTCCAAACTCAGGGATATCAGTCATAGCAGAGAGAGTGCAGCACTGGGTTTAAAGTAAGTGTAAGTAAAAATCTGTGTACAGAACTGGGGTACTCTAAGCCGAATCTCCTTCTCAGTATTGAGATCCTAAAGGCCAAAAGCATTCTTGTCCTTAGCCTCTCAACTAGGCAACAGGCTGAAGATTGATTATTTTCTGGACAGAGTTGTTTAAGACATTCAGATACTATTATTTGTTGGTTCCCAAGTGAGAAGGCAGTCTAAATCTGATTATCCTATAATGCAGTCCACGAGGAAATTACCATGAACCCAGAGCTCCTATCCAGCTTTCAAATATTTCATTCTTAAACATGAGTGCCCATTCATTCAAGCATCACCAAGCCTCTAACACGAAAGATACTAAAACAAAAGAACACGTTCTAAAAACAAAACAAAACAAAACCAAAAAACAAGAAACAACACTATAAGCAGAGGCAGACATCCCAAAAGATATAATCAATATCATCAGAGAGAGAAGATACTGCACCCATGAAACAAAAATAGCAAAAACCTTAAGAATAATACTCAGAAATACAGAGGTTTATGCCAGGAGAAAAAGAGTTAAGATGGAAATCTTTGTGGAATGGGGTTGGGTACAGAGCTAAGTTTTATTATAAACATATTGGTATTAGATTATTTAACTTAGATACATGTATTTTGACTAAAAGTTTCTTTTTTAACAAGCCTCTAAATCCTTGATATACTAGTGGCACCAACAACACCTGGGAGCTTGATAAAAATGCAGGACCTCAGGCACACCCTACCTTAGAAGTACTAAATCTGGATCTGTGTTTTATTTTATTTAAGAAAAAAAGATGTTATTTTAAAGCAATCTTTACACCCAACGTGGGGCTCAAATTCACAACCCCGAGATCAAGAGTCATACACTCCACCAACTGAGCCAGCCAGGTGCCTCTGGATCTGTATTTTAAACAAGATAACCCAGTGGTTCTTCAGCACATTAGAGTTTAAGCAGCACTGCTCTGTTGATTTTGATGCATGTGGTCCAGAGCTAAACATTACTAAACTGGCCCTCCAAGACCATCTGCATTATAGCAAGCTATGAAACCGAAGCAAATCAGCTCCTTCTATTATGACCAATCTTACCCTAAGGCGATTCTAAGAGCCTTGGAAAAATGTAAAAATTCCCAAAGTGGCTGTACACACGGAATTCTTTTCTACTTTTTAGGCAGAATAAGGGAAAACCAGGCTGGATGATGTAAATTTGCCACAGATGTTTAAACATCTTACAATAGTACCATCTGGTATGACTGCCCAGGCTGGTTTTCTATCCAGGTCAGTTGGAGGCCCATCACAACCCGGGGCAGTGAGGGACTTTGTGGCAGTTTTGTGGAGATGAAGCAAAAAGGAGGAGTGCCATTTCTAACAGACCAGTCCTGCACGAAAAGTCAATGTAGGATCTCACCCAACTGGTTCCTCCTAGTCCCAAGGATGGGGGCCAGAAACAGCTTTGGATTTGGCAAGAGAAGGCTGACTGCCAACTCCTTTGTGAATTAGAAAGCTACCAACTCCTTAGCTCACCCTTTCTTCCTGTTTCTTCCCTTCCTCTGAGTGCTTCTGCAACGCCACTTTGAGTGATTCTCTGATGAGCTGAATTTCAACTTCTGAAGCAGAGAGTTTCTTTTCAAGCTCGATCTTTTCTTTGTTCAGGGCTTCTGTCTTCTGTGCAAATTGTGCACGTAAGAAAGTGTTCTCTCGCTGCAATTCCTGCATAAAGATTCTCAATACATAATGGTTCCTCACTCTTACAGTCCCATGTACTTTACTTATCCTCGATCTACTTTGTGGTCAAATATCATCTTTCTCTAAGAATTTCCTCAAGCAGTGCTTCTCACAGTGTAGTCCTAGGACTAACATCTTCAGCATCACCTGGGGATTTGTCTGAAATAGAAATTCTTGAGCCCAACTCCCAGCCCACTGACTCAGAAACTCTGGGGATGGGGCTCAACAATCTGTGTTTCAACAGGCCCTCCAGGTGATTCTGAAGCACACTCACATTTTCTCCTCTACTCATCCTCTATATGATCTTGGGCAAAAGTTCTTCCTCACTCTTAGGCCTCAATTTTTTCACCAGTAAATTAGAGGACTGCACCAGATTTTATATAAGGGTCTTTCTCACTCTAACATTCTGATTCTATAAGATAGAACCGTCTTGACAGGCCCACTACGTGGCAAAGCCAGTACTATAATCTGTTTAATACTCATCACTCAAAAGCCCATATTGCAGAAGAAGTAAGCAAAGCAAGCTTTTCTAGGAGCCACTGCCCTCAGTGAAAATATGGCTACCTTTACTTGCTCCTAGACATGGAAATATTAAAAAATGAGAATGGCTCTAAATCCCATTACCTCTGCCTCTCCCTCCATTTGGCTACAGCTGGTAGATTAAGACTTATCAGAACATCACCCAGTTCAAGAAGCTTACTATGTACCTTGCTCTGCCTTCGTTTTTTTCCCAAGTATGTCCTGACACCAAGGCATACCTGATTCTACCCTCAAGCCTTTTCTGCCTCCACAAAGGCAGAATGAGGGATGTTTTATAATTAGGATGCCTACCCTTTTAAGGGCAAGGGCACCTTATATCACTTGATCCCTTTTCTATCTCCTGGATACCGTAGTACCAAGCAAAGGTAAGACACTGAGTTATGACAACCAGAATGCCATTCTGGCTGCCAATGCTTACCTGCAGCCTCAGCAAGCAGACATCCCCAAAGGGGGCAGGGCGGCCCAAAAGGGCACTGTGGACTTGCAGTTCACTTTCTCGTACTTTCTGCTCCAGCTGAGAGATATGTTTCCTCTGCCTGCAAAAGCCAGTAGAATGAGGTCCAGGGTACTGACACTAACCCACTGGCAACACGAGCCCCCACTTTCCTTAAGTGGATACAATTCATACTATGTAAACCAAAAAAGGCCTTGCGTCTGGATAGTACAGTCTTGCTGAAGGAGGAAGAGCAAATAAGAAAGCTGACTTGGGGGAAATGAGGAAAGAGCAGCTACAAAGGACTGGCTGTCCACTTCAGGCACTCCCAGAGTCCCTGCAGAGCATACACAATTGGCCTATCCCATTACTCAAATATAGAACTAGGTTGCTTGCCAACCTAGCCCGACCATGAAGGAAGGCACGGACCCAAACAGAGAGGGATGTGCTACCCTTGGAGAGACCTCATTAGGTGCCCTCAGTGTGGGCTGGGAGAGCAGAGCCTGGTACTAGGGCACCCCTTGACCTCTTACTTGTCAATGAGGAGCTCCTTTTCCTTCAGAAGGTGTTCATTACTGTTTAAGATGCTGATCCACTGCGCTGGTTCTAATGTGGGCAGTGATGGAGCAAAAGCAGCAGGATGGTGGCAGATGGCTCCATTCTGAAGCTGGAAGACAAGGAGGCCCAGAGGGGCTTGATCTTGACCCAAAGGCACCTGGAAAGCACCTGAGCAGTAACCAGCTGGGTCTCTAGTCAAGGATCACTTTGGCTCAGCTGAGGAGGCCCAGTGTTTATGAAATAATTTTAGCTCTGATGCATGACTGGAAAGAACCTGCCAGGGAGACTTCTGCCAATTGGACACTCCCTGCTCATGAAGGCTCTAGTTTCTAAGAAAAGGTCACTTATCTTTCATTATCTGGCAAGAGAGGCAAAGCAGGAGCTAAGATGTCCTAACCAACCAGAAAAGGAGAATAAGTCTTGCCTTTTTCCTTCCCACTCTTAAGCAGCACAAGGCTTTTTTTTTTTTTTTTTTAACACAAAATTAGTACAATGGAAGAAACACAGGGGTTCAGAGATGGTTTTTAAACCCTAGCTCTCCTACTTACCAGCTTTGTGACCCTGGACAGATTACTTATTCTAAGAACCTGGTAAATTTCTACATTTACCTCATCAAAGTGCTACAAGGATTAAATTAAGATTTCGTATGTGAAAGTAGCTAGCCTACCGATACATAAGTACACAATCAGGGTTAATGTCACACCTTTTGGGGTCTTCTGTTGTAACTCTCCACTCTGGAGGACCCATCTGGTGTTTAATTAGATGACCAACATATTCAATGGCATTCACAAGCCTTCACTTCCCATCTATAAACATCTTCGGTCTATCTTACAAATGTTTTCTTTAGAGTCAAAACTTACGGGACTAAACCTATAGAGTTCTAAGATCTGCAAAGAACCCACAAAATCCAGCGCAAGAAGGGTCTCTACCTGCATCTGCTCCATCTGCAAACGGATCATCTCCAGCCGCTGCCGGCAAGTGCTGAGCTCGCAAGACTGCTCATGTGGGCGCCAAGGGTCAGGGTTCGGCTGCCATACCTGAGAGGGTAGAGGCTTGGAGAAGCCAGGAGCAGGTTGGAGTCCCAAAGGGAGCACTCCACTGCTATTAGGGTGAGGTCCATTCCGCTCACATACCACCCCACTGCCCGGTGCCTTCTTGGTCTCAGGCAACACTTTGTATAACTCCTTGTTCGTGTCAGCTCTTGGGTTGTGAAAGTGGACTTGGTAGTGGGGATCAGAATAAAGTGTCTCCATCATTGCCGACTGATTAAGGGTAGACTCCATACTGGGCATATCAAACTTCCTCACCTCTTCTTCTCTTTCATGTCCCACTGCTGGAAACCAGGACTGTTCAATTCCATTTTCTCCAGGAGCACCACAAAGATACATGAAATCTCTAGACAGGCCAGGAGAACATTTCATTGCACCAAGGTCTCCATTTCTTGTCATCCCAGCACTTTCAGCCAGCCCTGACAAAGGGAGTTTGGAGGAAGAGAGTCCAGCAGGTATAGAATTTGGCTTGACAGGAGAGGTCCCCAAAGTGGAAGGTATCACATGGGCTGTTGGAATGGTTATGTGGCTTTTGATGGGCTGGAAAGAAGGGCTGCTACTTGAGCTACAAAAATCTGCGAAGAGAATAATCTTCTGTAAGTCAAAACTGAAGCAGGAGGATTTCTTTCTCTCTCTCTCTTTTTAAAAGATCTTACTTATTTGACAGAGAGACAGAGAGCACAAGTAGGCAGAGCGGTAGGCACAAGGAGAGGAAAAAGGCTCTCTGCTGGGCAGGGAGCCTGACATGGGGCTCGATCCCAGGACCCTGGGATCATGACCTGAGCTGAAGGCAGCCGCTTAATGACTGAGCCACCCAGGCACCCCAGCAGCAGGATTTCTTGAGTTTGGCTGCTATGCCAGATGTTCTCTCCTGACTGAGACCAAGCAGAATAGATACGATCATCCTAAGTATCAGGCAGAAAGGCAGCCTGAGAAGTTACGTGTATTCTAGGATCTCAAATGCCATTCACAAGGTAAACCAACAAAAGGCAACATCAGCTTTACTTTTAACTTACACTCTGTCCTTTTTATTTGAAAAAAAATCTTGCCAGTCAACAAACAAAACTGAGAAACGAATTTAAAACCAAAAAGCAAAAACCAAAAAACCACTTACTTAAGGGAAATGGATTAGGTCCTACTCTTCTGGGAGCTGGGCAACTCTCAAGCTACAATCCAATCCAATAAAAATATTCTTTCCGGGGCGCCTGGGTGGCTCAGTGGGTTAAGCTGCTGCCTTCGGCTCAGGTCGTGGTCTCAGGGTCCTGGGATCGAGCCCCGCATCAGGCTCTCTGCTCAGCAGGGAGCCTGCTTCCTCCTCTCTCTCTGCCTGCCTCTCTGACTGCTTGTGATCTCTCTCTGTCAAATAAATAAATAAATAAATCTTTAAAAATATTCTTTCCAAGGGTTGCCAGAATTCTCTGTGGCCTCCAAAAGCTTCCCAGTGAAGGTAAGCAATGAATCTGAACTATCCGAAGAATAGGCAAAGTGGATAGATAGTGCTGCTCTGTGTCCAGGACAGGGAGTACAGCATCTGAATCAGGATTCTATTCTCTCCCCCACACCCCAGACCTGACTGCCTGGATATGTGAAGTTATTCTTAGTAACTCTCAGGTTTCACTCTAGCACAGGGAGCACTCTCAAGTGGGTACACACTGAAATCCTCTATTTTATATTCTGCCTTCCCCCTTGTTTATATCCAACTGTGACTTTTCACTTTTTGTTCATACTCAATTTCTGCTTCCTTTAGCTCTTGCCTGGTTTTGGAGGACAACTCTCTCATTAGACCTGCTACAGAAGGTACACATTTCTACATTATTTCCAACTTTCAAGTGCTACTCTGAAAAAGACTATAGGGTCACAGAACTAATGCGTCAAGGCAGTGGGCTGCGAGCAAACAAGACAGTAATGTCAGGAAACATACCTGTTACCTTTATTTTTTTTTTAAAGATTTATTTATTTGACAGAGATCACAAGTAGGCAGAGAGGCAGGCAGAGAGAGAGGGGGAAGCAGGCTCCCCACTGAGCAGAGAGCCCGATGTGGGGCTCAATCCCAGGACCCCGAGATCATGACCTGAGCCGAATGCAGAGGCTTAACCCACTGAGCCACCCAGGCGCCCCTACCTGTTACCTTTAGCAGGGAGTAAACTGAGTAAGGGGACAAGGAATATAATGTCTTCCTTTTTCTTTTTTTTTTTTTCCTTTTAATTTATTTGACAGGGAGATAGAGAGTGAGCACAAGTAGGCACAGTGGCACGCAGAGGGAGAGGGAGAAGCAGGCTCCCTGCTGAGCAAAGAGCCCGGTGTGGGACTCAATCCCAGGACTCTGGGATCATGACCTGAGCCAAAGGCAGCCACTTAACTGACTGAGCCACCCAGGCACCCCTGTCTTCCTTTTTCAACTATGTCCAGTACTCTTTCCAAACCAAGCACATCTACCATGAAGAGTGGACAACCAATTTAATTCATTTCTTTTTTCTTTCCATCAACTAACACAGAACACACTCAGCTAATGAGGACAAATACTATAACCTTTCCCAGAATTACTACACATCAGCTACCATCTTCTCATATGGGTTTGTAAGTAGCTCTTTAAGGGACGCCTGGGTGGCTCAGTTGGTTGGACGACTGCCTCCGGCTCAGGTCATGATCCTGGAGTCCCGGGATCGAGTCCCTCATTGGGCTCCCGGCTCGGCGGGGAGTCTGCTTCTCTCTCTGACCTTCTCCTCACTCATGCTCTCTCTCACTGTCTCTCAAATAAATAAATAAAATCTTAAAAAAAAATAAAATAAAATAAAACCATGGACACCTGGGTGGCTCAGCTGGTTGAGTGTCAACTCTTGATTTTGGCTGAGGTCATGATGTCAGGATTGAGGGACTAAGCCCCACATCAAACTCCAGACTCAGAGCAGAATCTGCTTGAGATTCTCTCCTCCTCCCTCGGTGTCCCCCCACCCCGCCCCAACCCCGCCACTCATGCTGTCTCTAAAATAAATTAATAAATATAATCTTAACAACAACAAAAAAAAGGCAGCGCCTGGATGGTTCAGTTGGTTAAGTGTCCAATTCTTGGTTTCGGCTCAGGTCATGATCTCATGGCTGAGGGATCAAACCCTGCAACAGGCTCTGTGCTCAGCTCAGAGCCTGTTTCAGATTCTCTCTCCCTTTTCCTTCCATGTACATGCTCTAATAAATAATCTTTTAAAAAATAAACACAGAAACAACCCCCCCACAAAAAACAAAAACCATGGACATGCCAAATTATCCCTTATAATGTATGAGAGAAGGCAAAGTATCTAATTTCCTATACTTAGATTATCTTGGGGATATATATAAAAGGCCATACTAAAACAAAACAACAGTAATTTCTGATAAATGTGTCTGCTTCTAAGGACCAAGAACATTTCAGAGGCTAAGGACACAGTTTTTGAGGTCCCATAGCTTATACATAAGAATAGGCAATAGGCTAAAGCAGACTGTGGTGATGAAAACTTCCAAGAATAGCAAGCTCTCCACTTGAAACCCTCTGTAACGGTACCATAATATTCACTCTCACCAAGGGTCTCTGCTCTCAAAGTATAATTATGGAACAGAAGATCGTCAAGTTGTAGCATATGAAGGACTGCTATTGTGCTGAACTTTGTAACCCCTCCTTCCATTCTCCATCTACAGCACCACCTACTCTCAAGACTCACCAAATTCAGTTTTGAGCCCATAACCCCCAAAGTAGTAATGCCAAAACCAAAGCCTGGAAAGTTATCAAATGACCCAGGACTTCTAATTTTCTAGAAGTGTGGTTGATCCACTGATAAAAGAATAAAAATCTTTTTCAGCAGGTCACTTATCTATTAAGTTTATTTATAGTAAGAAAACTGGCATTCTTTTTTTTTTTTTAAAGAATTTATTTATTTATTTGACAGAGAGAGAGAGCACAAGTAGGCAGAGCAGCAGGCGGAGGGAGAGGGAGAAGCAGGCTCTCTGCTGAGCAGGGACCCCAGGATCCTGGGATCATAACCTGAGCTGAAGGTAGCCACTTAATTGACTGAGCCACCCAGGGACCCAGAAAACTGGCAATTCTGACAAACTGCTATAAAATGTCAAGTTACACCTTAAGTCTGATTTGTATTTTGAAACATTTTGAAGCAAAACAGCAACACTCATTTTTCTTTAAAGATTTTATTTATTTATTTGAGAGAGAGGGAGAGAACAAGCACAAGCAGGCAGAGAGACAGAGGGAGAGAGAGAAGAAGCTGAGCAGGGAGCCTGATGTGGGACTCAATCCCAGGACCCCTGAATCGTCACCTAAGCTAAAGGCAGACGCTTAACCGACTGAGCCACCCAGGTGTCCCACAACACTCATTTTCAAAAGGGCCACTTACCTTCTACAATTTTCAAAGACTCAAAATTTAGTGTATGGGATATGTGATTTTTAGAGAAGTCTACAGTTCTCAGAATATTGGGGTTTTGCCCCTTTAAGGATATTCATATTTCTAAATCTCTCCTCTCTTCAACCATACCCTCTGCCCCACTCCCTAATTCTTTCTAAAAACCATGCTTTCTCAGTGAGGGGTAGATTTAGCTATTACTAAATCTTGATCACTTCTGTCTATATCCCTTACTGGTTTATGAAGTAAGGGAGTCTGAACTAAGCCAGTTAACTACTGCCGTCTTTAATAAAAAGCTGAAAGTCCTCTGAAGTCGCCAGTATCCACCTCTACCCCATCCCTTACAATTCTTCAAGGTAAAACATTTTTTTTTTTTAAGATTTTATTTATTATTTGACAGAGAGAGAGACAGACACAGTGAGAGAAGGAACACAATCAGGGGGAGTGGGAGAGGAAGAAGCAGGCTTCCCGCCAAGCCAGGAGCCCGATGCGGGGCTGGATCCAAGTACCCTGGGATCATGACCTGAGTTGAGGGCAGACGCTTAACAACTGAGCCACCCAGGTGCCCCTCAAGGTAAAACATTTTAATGAAGGGTAGAATCAAAAGCAAACCTGTTCACTTTAAAGATGAAACAATGAAAAAAAGAAGATGCAACAATGAACTATATCTTATACTAGTCATAAGGGTTCTTGTCAACTGGGCTCCTAATAAAACCAAGCTGGATGGATGGACACAATAAGCAAGGGTTAAGATAAAGACCACTGTACGTAACAAACATGGCAGAGAAGACATCTTAGATCCTTTATTTTTTTCAAAGATTTACTTATTTATTTATTTAGAGGGAGTGTGTGTGTAGAAGTGGGGGGAAAAGGAGAGAATCTTGAGCAGAGTGCACTGAATGTGGAGTCTGATGAAGGGCTCAATCTCATAATCTCACCCTGAGATCATGACCTGGGCTGAAATCCAAAGTTGGACTCTTAACTGACTGAGCCACCCAGGTGCCCCCCCTTGGATCCTTTAAAAAAAAAAAAAAAAAAAAAAAGGCATCACATCAAGGCTACTACAATTTAAAAAGAATGCACTACACGGGAAATATATTTCCCCCCTCAAAGGAATAAAAAGCACAGAATCTGTGTAACAATGTGACTGAATTAAATACAGTCACTAAATTCAATAGGGGGAAATCTAGACCATTGTTTGATTTTTTTTTTTTTTTTTTAAAGATTTTATTTATTTATTTGACAGAGAGATCACAAGCAGGCAGAGAGGCAGGCAGAGAGAGGGGAGGAAGCAGGCTCCCCTAGAGAGCAGAGAGCCCGATGCGGGGCTCGATCCCAGGACTCTGAGATCATGACCTGAGCCGAAGGCAGCGGCTTAACCCACTGAGCCACCCAGGTGCCCCCCATTGTTTGATTTTTAAAAGAACTATTATTTAGTCAAAATGAAAAAGGTCCCATGACTGCAATGTAGACAAAACCTTAACAAATAACTAAACTGAGAGTAACACTTGATTACAGAAGTGACAGAAAAAATACTACAGCTGGGAGACCTGAATCTGACTAGTTGTGTGACATCAGGCAAATTACTTAACCCCTTGGAGAATTTTTGTTACTCACCAGCAAAAAGGAACTGGATTAAATGACTTTCAAAGTCCATCTACAACAAAATCTATGATTCAGTTCTACTCAACATTTATGAGCACCACGCCATATACACACAGCTATCAAACTATTAAATGCCAGGTGTCTAAGGGTCAATACAGTAGATAACTATATATATATTTTTTTTACCCATTTCTATTTTCAAACATTTCTATCCTTTTCTTTAAAAAACAGCTTTACTCAAAAAAACAAAAAAAAAAAAAACAAAAAAAAAACAGCTTTACTGAAATATAATTCACATAACATTCAATTCACCCACTTGAAGTGTACAATTCAATGGTTTTTATTACATTCATTGTTGTGTAACCATCACTACAATCAATTATAGAATATTTTATTACCACAAAAAGAAACCTCTTACTCTTTAGCAGTCACATTCCATTTACCCTAACTTCCCTAGCCTTGGACAACCACTCATTTTCTGTCTTTCTGGATCTGCCTATTTTAGACATTTCATATAAATGGAATCATACAGTATGTGGCCTTTTGTGTCTGGCTTTACTTGGCATAATGTTTTAAAAGTTCAACTATTTTGTAACAGGTATTAGTACTTCATTTCTTACTGCGGAATAATATTCTATTATATGGATATACTACATCTGACTCATTCATTAGTTGATAAACATCTGGGTTGTTTCCATTTTTGGGCTACTATAAATAATGCTGCTACGAATATTCATGTAACAAGTTTATGTGTGGATATATGCTTTCATTTCTCTTGGGTATATAGGTAGGAGTAGAACTGTTGAGTCATAGGATAACTCCATGTTTTACCCTTTTGAAGATCTGCCAAACTGCTTTCCAAAGCAGCTTCAACATTTTACACTCCCACCAATAATGTATACAGGTTCCAATTCCTTGACATTCTCACCAAAACTTGTTATTATCTTTTTGATTATAGCTATCATAGTGGGTGTGACATCTGATAAAGTACTAAAGTGACTAGTTTTGTAACTCTAATCAAGTAATCTAATCACTTTGAAATTCAGCTTTCTCGGGGTGCCTGGGTGGCTCAGTTGGTTGAGCGTCCAACTCTTGGTTTTGGCTCAGGTCATGATCTCAAGGGTTGTGTGATCTAGCCCTGTGTAGGGCTCTGCACTCAGCAGGGAGTCTGCTTGAAGATTCTCTTCCTCTGCCCCTCCTCCCACTTATGATCTTTCTCTCTCTCTCTCAAATAAATAACTCTTTGAAAAAAAAAAAAGAAATTCAGGGATGCCTGGGCGGCTCAGTTGGTTGGGCCACTGCCTTCAGCTCGGGTCGTGGTCCTGGGGTCCTAGGATCAAGTCCTGTGTCAGGCTTCTTGCTCAGTGGGGAGCCTGCCTCTCTCTCTGCCTCTGCCTGACGCTCTGCCTGCTTGTGCTTTCTCTCTCTCTCTCTCTGACAAATAAATAAATAAATAAATAAAATCTTAAAAAAAAAAAAAAAGAAATTCAGGTTTCTCAGCTGTAAAATGGAAATAATATTTCATAGCGTTCTCAAAGATGTTAATGAAAAAATGTAGAAAAAATTTAGTATAGTATCCATCACAAAGTATTTAATAAATAGTTACTATTACCATCAGGTCCTCTGCCCTCTAGGAACTCACTATCTAAATGAAAAAATAAAATACACTTGTGATGCTTGGCTGGCTCAGTCAGTAGAGCATGGGGCTCTTCATCTTGGTTTGTGAGTTCAAAAGCCATATTGGGTATAGAGACTACTTAAATAAATAAAATTTTTTAAAAAAGAAAATACTCTTGTAAAACACTGTCTGGCAGTTATTACTTAATTTAAGTGACCCCCAAATGGCAGACACAATGAAGATTACAAGATGGCAGAGAGGGAGGGGTGCCTGGGTGGCTCAGTGGAATGAGTGTCTGCCTTCAGCTCAGGTCATGATCCCAGGCATCACACAGGGCTCCCTGCTCAGCAGGGAGTCTGTTTCTCCCTCCCCCTGCTCCTGTTCTCTCTCTCTCTCCACCCTCCCTCTCAAAATAAATGAAATCTTATTTTTTTTAAAAAGATTGCAGGGCACCTGGGTGGCTCACTTAGTTAAGCAACTGCCTTTGGCTCAGGTCTTGATCCTGGAGTCCCAGGATTGAGTCCCACATAGGGCTCCCTGCTCCACAGGGAGTCTGTTTCTCCCTCTGACCTACCCCTCTCGTGCTTTCTTTCTTTCTCTCTCTCAAATAAATAAATAAAATCTTTAAAACATTAAAAATAAAAATAAATAAAAAGATTACAGAGAGGGAGATTAGTAACGGGTGGAAGGGATGGGAAAAGTCTAGTCAGACACTTCACTAGATTTTGAAAAATAAGATCAGCACAGCTGGGAAGGGCAAGAAGAGGTGGAAACAACACAAATGGGCCTGGATTAAAGAAGAAAAGAGCTCAGATATCCAAAACAACAACAAAAGTTCTGTGCTTTTTCATTGCATAGTAAAACACCACACTCTATAACAGTAAGAAATATGTCTGATTGGGTGGGAAAGCCAGATCACAAAATTAAGGCCTCTGAACTTTATCCTCCAAGTAACAGAAGCAGTCGAGGATTTACAGGAAAGGGAAACCATAAAACCAGGCTTTTAGAAAGATTAACCTGGCAGTAGAGGGAAAAGACTTGAGGACAAGAAACCTATAAAAAGTTATTAAAATAGGACAAACAGTAAAAACTGAAAGAAAAGGGCCAAATGTAAGAAACACAGAGTAAAAAAATCAAGCAAACTCCTTGGCTGAAGTGCCCAAGTTATGAATATTCTGGAATTGACAGTATACATGGAACACAATCTGAAAATGACAACACATATTAGTAATCAAACCATTAATCCAAACTTACCCTCTGCAATGTCTGAGCATGATGTGCCGATGGCTGTGTCTCCACTGTCAGCTACACTTGAGCAGCGGCTGAAGCGACTCCGAAAAGCCTCTGAGATAGCTGGGGTCTGCCATTCGGTTCCCAGGGAACTACCCTTTTGAATTACACCAGAACCTGAAACAAGCGACACTTCCCATCTTCAGTGTGAACCAGTTGATGTAACCCCACAAGACTGTTTAAATAAAGCACTTAAACCTATGAAAAAAACAGCATCATTCTCTCTCCTGTGCCTATTTCAGCTTCTCTAAATTAGTTAATTTTGAATGGAAATAGCATGAGATGTGAGAATGTTCACAGACAGAAAAAAGACTTACCAAGAACCCAGGAATCTATCAGTAGCTACCATTTTTTGAAATCTAGAAATTCTAACACTTTACCAACATGATCTCATCTACTTACTTACTTGAACAGTATCATCACCCCTATTTTACAGAGGACAGAGCTGAGATTTGAACCCAGGTTGTTTTGATTATAATATCCACATTCTTTCCTATTAAAGGATTTCTCAGTAGGTGCTTCTGGCACACTGGGCATGACAATTCCTCAATGTGTAGTCTATACATGTCAGGATGGTTTAGCATCCTCGGTCCCTATTAAATGCCAGTAGCAGCCCTAACCCTATCCCACCATCACTATGAAACATGCAAATATACCATGTTTCCAAATGCTCCTTAGGGTAACAGGCAGTCCAGTCTCTTGTTGAAAACCATTGCTTGGGGGTGCCTAGGTGGCTCAGCTGATTAAGTGTCTGACTTCAAGTCAATTCATGATCTAGGGGTCCTGGGATCAAGCCCTATTTGAACTCTGTGCTCAGCAAGGAGTTTGCTTCTCTCCCTCTGCTGTTCACCCCACTCGTGTGCATGTGGGCGCTCTCTCAAATACATAAATTGAAGAGAGAGAGAGAGAGGAAGGAAGGAAGGAGAGAAAGAAAAAAGAAGAAAACCGTTGCTTGACTGAACTGGGGTACCTAGTGGGCAGGATGAATCCAGATCATGGTTAAGCCTTAGAAGTCAATCTGAAGAGTTCAACACTATTTTGAGTGCAATGCAAAAAACCCACTAAAATTTCTAAGTGGGTAAGACAAAACTAGATTGAGGAGATTTTTTAAAAAAGATTTTTATTTATTTATTCAACAGAGAGACAGAGTGAGAGAACAAGTAGGCAGAGTGGCAGGCAGAGGGAGAGGGAGAAGCAGGCTCCCCACTCGGGGCTCAATCCCAACCCTGGGATCATGACCTGAGCCGAAGGTAATCCTTTAATCAACCAAGCCACCCAGGCGCCCCAAGACTGAGGAGATTTACTGAACTTTAATAGCTTGCTACTCGAAGGCCATAGGTAGCAAGCATTCAATAAACACCTGATTTACTAGTATTCATTGTTAAAAAAAACTATAATTTTTCTAAACTGTATCTGATGATCCATGTAAACAAATGGACAAAAACGTAATGATGGCTACTTATCCATTTAAAATGTCAGAGTTTTAGCTGAAATCATAAAACGAGGTTCTACAGACTCTTTGATTTACTGGGAAGCAAATGATATTTGAACACAAATCACCTTATTCTCTTCTTCCAATTTTAGTGCTTCTCCCATCTTTTTAACTCACTTTCTTCTACTTTTGCTACCCTCTGCCTTCTACTGAAGTTCTACTCTAACTTTCCCCAAGGACTTATTCTTGGGGTCACAGTGGACTGCCTGATGTGAAAGAATTGGCCGGCGTAGGGCAGCCCTGCGGACCGCCCTGCTCCCAATCTGCATTAGATGGGAGTAATACCCTTTCATTAAGACATACCTAATGATCAGAGATTCTGATTAGTGTAAGATTAGCTGGTGTTACTATCTGTACATATAAGCATAATTCTAGCTAGAAGGAAAGAAATTTGACTTCTAGGTAAGTCTATATGGTGTTATCTCTCTAACCAGTAGACAAATTTCCAGGCCTTCTAAAATACTGAAAATCGGGGCGCCTGGGTGGCTCAGTGGGTTAAAGCCTCTGCCTTTGGCTCAGGTCATGATCCCAGGGTCCTGGGATTGAGGCTCGCATCAGGCTCTCTGCTCAGCAGGGAGCCTGCTTCTCTCTCTCTCTCTCTCTCTCTGCCTGCCTCTCTGCCTACTTGTGGCCTCTGTCTGTCAAATAAATTAAAAAAAAAAAAATCTTAAAAAAAATAAAATAAAATAAAATACTGAAAATCGATTGAGGGCCTCTATTACCATCTTTCTGGCCTCTTACTTCTCATCACTACTGATCTTCCATTCTTTACCAGTACCACTTTTCTATCTGCTCACTCCATACATCAATTCTGAAGAGATATTTGCTAAAATAAAAATGTATTTTACGAGGTGCCTGGCTGGCTAAGTCGGTAGAGCATCTGATTCTTGATCTTGGGGTTGTGAGTTCAAGCCCTATGCTGGGTGTAGAGATCACTTTTTTTTTTTTTTTTTAAGATTTTATTTATTTGAGAGAAAGATCATAAGCATGGGGTAGGGGTAGAGGAAGAAGCAGACTCCCTGCTGAGCAAGGAGCCCAATGCAGGACTTGATCCCAGAACTCCAGGATCACCACTCAAGCCAAAGGCAGACACTTAACTTACTGAGCCACCCAGGAGCCCTAGAGATCACGTAAATAAATAAAACTTTTAAAAATGTATTTTGGTATAGGTACAGAGGCTTATGCTTATTTCAAAATTCAAGTTTGAAAGCTGAAATTTTTTTGTTATGTCATATGTCCTATCACTAACATCTTTTTAATCAAAATATTAAGACTATTATTAATCAAATGAAAGACTACTAAAGACAAAGTCATCAGAAAAGCAGTGAGTTTTATTAGAAATTGCTACATCCCCCAAATTTGTGTGTTATAACATAATTGTCATTAGAAATTATACAATCCAGCCCTAAAACAGTGAATGGCATGTAGCAGATGTTCAATAAATATTTGCTGAAGGCATCTTGAACTGATTCAACAAATGTTTTTCAAAATGCTTAATCTATGCAGGGCAGCACTCCTAGGAGAATACAACAAACATCTAATAAATGCTGTAAGGCACTGTAGGATTTTAAAGTTAAATAAAATATATCCTTAGTTGAAAAAAATATACCCCTCTCTTCATAAACACCTCAGAATTCAAAAAGCTATTTTTCTATCCTACCTTCTATTTAAACATACCACATCTAATATGTGTTTATTTACGTATTTATGTATGTTTAACATATATATTTAATATATCCACTTAATATATCTACTGAGCTTTCAAAATCTTGTCAATCCATTCTAAAGATAAATTCCTGAGTCTCTAGTGACAACATAACTGAGACTGTTGGCATCCAAGAAGAATTCCAATCTTTGTGGGCTAGCAGATGACTGACCCACCCACAGGACTACAAAGACAACATAGAACACAGTAATTTATGCTGTGTTTTTCTGATTTCAAATGGAACTATGTTCCAAAGTCATTCTGTTCCTTCATGTGTCCTCCCCTCCCAATCAATCATGTGGTCTTCTTGGAAGCCATGAAGGACCACAGATAAATAGTTGTTCTTTTGGAGAGGCCTGTTTTTCTATTCAATATAGCCTCATATTATTTTTGTTCTTTAAGTACCAGCATTTTAGTGAATGTTTGTTTGCTAAGTATTTCCTTTAAAGGAAATTTCTGTTATGAAAAAACAGAGCAAAGGTCAGAAAACTCTGCTTACTCACCTGGTGAAGTGGCATGAGAAATCCTCTCACTTGGGTATTTCTCCTGCATGGCCATCAACACCGTTATTTGAGCCAACTGTAAAATGAAGGAATAACCAGTCAGAGCTCTCCACTATCTTTTAACTCCTTGTAACTCGCTCCCATTCAACTGAAACTGTCAAACCCACACAGGATTCGTCTTCCACATGTTTTACTTCTAAAGATATATATATATTTTCTAAAGATTTTATTTATTTATTTGACAGATAGAGATCACAAGTAGGCAGAGAGGCAGGCAGAGAGAGAGGGAGGAAGCAGGCTCTGCCAAGGAGAGAGCCCCATGTGGGGCTCGATCCCAGGACCCTGAGACCATGACCTGAGCCAAAGGCAGACGCGTTAACCCACTGAGCCACCCAGGCACCCCCTAAAGATATATTTTTTAAAAATATTTTATTTATTTATGTGAGAGAGGAGAGAAAGAGCATGAGCAGGGGGAGGGGTGGAGGAAGAGGGAGAAACAGACTTCCCTGCTGAGCAGGGAGCCCAACATGGGGCTCAATTCCAGGATCTTGGGATCATGACCTGAGCCGAAAGCAGGGGCTTAACTGATGGAGCCACCCAAGCGCCTTTCCTACAGATATTTTTTAAGGCAAAGCAACTCCTGATAGTCCATCCTACTTCTCTTCCTAAAGTGAGAGAAAATCTAGAACCAAATAAAGATTCTTAATACTGATCCTATATGTCCTAGAATTCCTCAACTGTTGCAAAAATTAAAAATAATATTATTTTCATTTTATTTTTTTTTAAAGATTTTATTTATTTATTTGAGATCAAGAGGGAGAGTGAGAGGGGCACAGGCATGCAAGAGTAGGAGGAGGAGCAAAGGGAGAGGCAGAAGCAGGCTGTCCAGTAAGCAGGGAGCCCAATGACTCTGGGCTCAATCCCAGGACCCTGGAATCATAATCTGAGCTGAAGGCAGACACGTAACTGACTGAGCCACCCACGTGCCCCATAACATTACTCTCAATTAACACACTTTACCACAGATTTTCTTAGCCATGGAAACAGGATGAGAGAGTAGGGTAGAGAAAGAACTAAATAACCAAACCAACAGTGTATTATTATGACTCAATTATCAACATAAATTCCCCAATTCCTCCAGTAATGAAAGTTAATTATTAAGATGCACAAAAGAAAAAAAATAAGATGCACAAATAGAATTCTGGTTCATAAGAAGAACCCCAATTCTTAGCTGGGAACACAAGATTTTCTTCCCATTTATATTTATTCTAATGGTAGGCTGTGAGAATTCAGCAAATGTCTGATTACTATCTGTGTAAACAAAAGCCTTAAATAACTATAACTAACAGTAGCAAATAATATCTTATATTTGCATAGTACCTGAGAGGCATGGCAATACAGGGAAGTGGTTCAGAGTATGTACTTGTGATCAGACAGCTTGGGTTTGAAGGCTGACTTCATTAGCTGTGTAATGTTGGGCAAATTTTGTAGTATCTCTATACCTCAGTTCCTTCACATAAAAATGAAGATGGGGGCACCTGGGTAGCTCAGTTGGTTAAGCACCTGCCTTAGACTCAGGTCATGATCCTGGGGTCCTGGGATTGAGATTGAGTCCCAAGTCGGGCTCCCTGCTCAGCAGGGAGTCTGCTTCTCCCTCTCCTCCCCGCTCATGCTATCTCTGTCTCTCTCTCTGTCTCAAATAACAAAATCTTTAAACAAATAAATAAATAAAAATGAGGAGGGGGGCACTTGGGTGGCTCAGTCAGTTGGGCATCTGACTCAGGTCATGGTCTCAGGATATGGATGAAGCTCCATGTTTGGCTGTGCATTCAGCAGGGAATCTGCTTGAGATTCTCTTTCCCTCTCCTTCTGTCCCTCCCCCTGCTTGTGTGCATGCACTCACTGCCTCCCTCTCTCAGATAAATAAGTAAATCTTAAGAAAAAATAAGTGAAAATGAGGATCGGAGTGGTTGGTTGGGTCTGTCAGTTAAACGTCCAACTCTTGATCTCAGCTCAGGTCTTGATCTCAGGGCTGTGAGTTCAAGCCCCATGTTGGGCTCCATGCTCGGTGTGGAGCCTACTTAAAATAGTAGCAATAAAAATAAATAAAAATTAGAATAAAGACAGGACCTAATTCATGCCAATTCATTTAAAATTAACTCACAACAGTGCCTGACACATGTAAGTGCTTAATTATGTTTTTATTATGATTACTTGGCAGTTTACATCAATAAAAAATGAGATATGATCGTCCTTGGAAGATAGAGTTTGAATTTAGAAATTGAATTTATAAGCGTCCCCAAAGAGTTTGGGACAAACTAAACTGATCACAATTCTTAGAAGTGAAATTCAACTTTGGTGAGAAAACAAAGGCTATATGGGTACTATTTCTCTAATGTGCTTTACTGACCTCTATAGTTTTCTCTTAGTAACAACAACACAAACCCTTGCTAATTCAAGACCTCTATAACAGAAATGGTACTATCCCCTGATATCCCAGTTCTTCACATAGTGGGTAAGAGATGATTGTTCAGTAAAAGCTTCAATTTATGGCTATTATCATTTACTGTGTTAATGGTGACACAGAAGGATTAGATTATCTATCTAGCAGTGGTATCAAATGGTCAATATCAAACTCCTTTTCTTCACTTATAAAGAAAGTGGGTGGCTCAGTGGGTTAAAGCCTCTGCCTTCAGCTCAGGTCGTGGTCCTGGGGTCCTGGGATCAAGCCCCACATCGGGCTCTCTGCTCAGCGGGGAGCCTGCTTCCCTTCCTGCCTCTCTGCCTACTTGTGATCTCTATCTGTCAAATAAATAAATAAAATCTTAAAAAAAAAAAAAAGTTACTCTGTAACTCGGAAATTCCATTCCTAAGTATATGTTCAAGAGAAATAAAAACATGTTCACACAAAATTTTGTACATGAATGTTCACAGTAGCATTACTTACAATAGCTAAGAAGCAGAAAAAACTCAAATGTCCATCAACTGATAAACAGGTAAATTCCATTTATATTAAATGTCCAGAACTAGCAAATCCATATACACAGCAGATTAATGGTTACCAAGTACTAAGAGGTGGGAGGTCAGGGAATGGGTAACAACTACTAATGGACATGGTGTTTCCTTCCAGGGTGATCAAAATCTCCTGAGACTGGATAGTGGTGGTGGCTGCACAATCTTGTGAATGTACTAAAACCACTTAATTGTACACACATAAAACTGAATTTTATTGTACATGAATTCTACCTCAATTAAAAAAAAAGAAAAGAAAACTCCCACAAGGAGTAAAACTGTATGGAAAAGATAATTCTCTTTTTTCTTAAGTAGCCTCCAAGCCCAGAATGGGGACCAATACAGGGCTCAAACCCACAACCCTGAGATCAAGACCTGAGCCAAGACCAAGAGTTGGATGCTTAACTGACTGAGCCACCCAGGTGCCCCTGGAAGAGGTAATTCTTGAGTTTTTCCTACTAAGTTCAGAAGTAGATGAGCTACTGATGGTTTCTAGGACCATCTGAAGGACATAAAGATTTCCTGAGATAAAAGTGAGAGAAATGAATGTATAAGAAGTAACAAAAATAACCAATTACACAGCCAAGAAAGGTAGGAGTGAATGGAAGCAGACAGAAGAAACGCCCACATTGATGGTTTCTATCTTCAAAGCCCTTTAAACTGCTGAAGTATTCATTCAACAAATTTAACAAGTACTGAATATTTACTACCCACAAAGCACTGTGCTAAACACTCTATTACAGGTATAATGTCTTATATTTAATGCTCACATCAAATCTATGAGGCAGTTATTACCCTTATTTTATGGATGAAAAAAATGAAGGTTGAGAGAAGGGAAGGTCATATAGCTAGGAAGAGGCTTCAAAGCCAGGACTGTGTTCTAATGCTATAGAGATTCTAGCCTGCATTCTTTCTCTGTGTGACAAAAATAAATAAATGTAGTTATGAAGGCACCATAAGGTGGGAGTTTCTGCTTCAGACACAGCCAGAGCTGAAAGCCCCAAAGTAGTTAGAAGCAGGGACAGCGCATACAGTTTCTTCATGTTGCTCTTGGTCACCACCCCGGCTCTATTTCCCAAGTTGCCTCCCAAGAATTAGGTTTTGATTGTTATAAGTATTTCTCCCCTTGAAGAATTACAATGTTAGTGTGGAATGTCACACTGGCGGCTGTTGAGAATCCACATCAAGACAGGAGAGGATAGGAAGGGATACGTAGCTGACAAAAGCGCATTAAGAATCTCCACCACTGGGGCGCCTGGGTGGCTCAGTGGGTTAAAGCCTCTGCTTTCCGCTCATGTCATGGTTCCAGGGTCCTGGGATGGAGCCCCACATTGGGCTCTCTGCTCAGTGGGGAGCCTGCTTCCTCCCCTCTGCCTGCCTCTCTGCCTACTTGTGATCTCTAATAAATAAATAAAATCTTTAATAATAATTAAAAAAAGGAATCTCACACCCTGGCAGTATTTTCATGACCTTGATCATTCATTAAACCAGACCTAAAGAAAGAGAAGCCAAATTCTTCCCAAGAAGTTGCCTTTACAAAGTCTTGAGACCTACACCACCACCAGACCATTATAAAACCTACAAGGCCTAGGGGCATTACCTTAATCATCCTGGTTATCATAACCCTTCCGTACCTAGCACACAGTATTCGATTCATCAAACAAAATTTACTGAGGGCCTACTATTCGCCTGGCTCTGTGCCATGTGGTGGAAATACCCTGGTGTAAAAGGCAAACGGGGTTCTGATCTTCCTGCTTTAGCGCGATGGGAGTGCTGAATACCTTCTACTGAACAGATTCGCTGTAACCCACTAAACTTGTAGTCAGTCCAAAGCACCAGCTCCTCCTTGCCTCATCTAGAGCAGGTGGTCTAGACAATCTGGATGCTCCTGACATTTTAGGTAGATAAATCTTTGCTTGAAGCCGGGAGGTGGGGGGGGGGGGTGGTGCTGTGCTGCACAAAGTTGGATGTTTCGCAGCAGCCCTGACCTTCTATCCACTAGTACCAGGAGCAATCCCTGAGTTGCCGCAAATGAAAATGTTTCCTGACACTGTCAACTACCAGTGCGGGCTGGGAAACTCCAGCCTAGCGCCTTCACAAGAGCTGTCTCCCAACCCTAAGTCCCTATTCATCCTGTAACCCCCAGCCCCAACTTCCCTTCCTCAGGGAGGGCTCCCTGCCCTCTCCGACTACACAGCCGCCTTCTGCCTAGTGCTGTGTACTTCTCCAGCCCACACCATGCAGCCCTAACCAAGTCGTCACCCGCTTCACGTCTACTCTTCTCTGGGACCGTCCGCTCCGCAAAGGCAAGCAACGTGGTACCCGCCGTCCCCTCCCCCGGCGACTGGCACAGGGCCTACCCTTTACAAAGGTAAAGCAACTGCTAGGGAGTGAACGATGGAGAAAGCCACACGAAGAGGGCAGGGAGGCGAGCGAGTCACGAGGGGGCGTGTGCGGGGCATTATTTTAGGAAGCCCAGCGGGTGAAAAACCCAGAGAGGACGACTTAATAGCTCCGCGCATGCGCTTCGCTCTCCCACGGCCCCCGAAGAAGGTAGGTCATGAGTGTCTGGGGTCCTCTGGAGCTCCTCGCGGGCTCCCCAAGGTGGGGCGGGGTCTCCTAGCCCGAGAAGGGCTACCGAAGGGAGGAGGACTTACGTAGGGCCGAAAGAGGGCGGCGAAATCCCTAACCCAGGAACGCCGACTGCGGCCACTACGTCGGCCGCGGGCGGCAGTTCACTTCCTCAGCTCGCCTAACGGCCGTTACACACCCACCAGGCCGCGCGCCTCAGAGCGCGCGCCGCCCCACCCCGCCCCTTTCTGCCCGCCTGTGGCCAATCAGGAGTCTGGCCGCGCCGGTGTCCCGCCCCCGCACGCTGCGCTCCGCGCCGGGAGCGGCCGGATCTCTCTGCGCATGACCCCGCCGTTCTTCCGAGCCTCTTCTTCAGCCTCTAGCCGGGTCTCGCCTATGGGCGGAGCCCTCGTCTCTCCGGTCGGCAGTGGCTTGCTGGACTTGGGCTGTTGGAGGAGCTGGAGGCCAGGGAAAATCATTCGGGAGCCCCATCCCCAAACACCTGCCCCACCCTTCTCCCATTCCCCACGGCCTGTCGGTACTCCCATCTGAAATGAACTAAGGGGCCAGTCAGGTAGTGGTCCCGAGTTAGTGTGTGGCCTGAGTCACTGCCATGTCAGGGTTAGTGCTGTCTGTGGCTGGGGTCAGGGCTTGGGCTGGCTTAGGGTCAGTGGTCAGACTGTGACCAGAACTCAGGTTGAAGGGTAACTAACAGATCGATCTTGCCTCCCTACCCAACCTCGGTCCCCAGGAAAAGAACTAAGTTCATTTGCATTAATATATTCTTTTTATTTATTTATTTATTTGTTTGTTTATTTATTTATTTGACAGACAGAGATCACAAGTAGGCAGAGAGGCAGGCAGAGAGACAGGAGGAAGCAGGCTCCCCGCTGAGCAGAGAGCCCTATGCGGGGCTCGATCCCAGGACACTGGGATCATGACCTGAGCCGAAGGCAGAGGCTTTAACCCACTGAGCCATCCAGGCGCCCCTGCATTAATATATTCTTAAGAATCACGCTGGGGAATTGTTAAAAAGAGGAACAAAGCCATCAGCCAAAGGATAGTGAAAAATTCCAGGCTTCTGGAAACCTGACTTGGGAGGGAGAGGCATGGAAAACTTGTGGGATTTCTTAACTTTGAAGAACCAGACTTAAAGAGAGTTAATTACCGGATGAAATTCACTTCAGAGTTAGAACTCTGGGGATGTGCTCCAAAATTCTGTTCCGTTCCCCCACCTCGCCCCCAGCTTCATATAACATTTTAAGGTAAGCATATAGAAGGCATAAAATAGGCTTAATGGGTAATGAATCAGGGTATGATGTAATAGATGCATTTAGGGGCTATTCTCTGAAATTAGGACCAAACGCTTTTTTAAAAACATAAATGGTAGGGCGCCTGGGTGGCTCAGTGGGTTGGGGCCTCTGCCTTCGGCTCAGGTCATGATCCCAGAGTCTTAGGATCGAGCTGTGCATGGGGAACTCTGCTCGGCAGGGATCCTGCTTCCTCCCTCCTCTCTCTGCCTGCTTCTCTGCCTACTTGTGATCTCTGTCAAATAAATAAATAAAATCTTTAAAAAAAATTAAAAAAAAACATAAATGGTAAGGATACATATCTAAATGAATAAATTTGTGGACTAGTGGGTAGGAAGTAGACTGTTGGGTGGTGGAAACATCTGCTTGATTGCTTCTATTTCTTTTGTGAGAAACATCTGTGAAGAGGGAGGGAACAGGGACCTGTAGAGGACCGAGAAGAACGGGTAGGATTTGAAGAGCTGATGCAGAGAAGGGAAGACAAACCTAATTGGAAACATAATGGTAGTGCTAAGATTTAAATTTACAAATGGCAAATACTGCAGTACAGTTTACTCCAATGGATTTTTTAAAAAGATTTTATTTTTTATTTGACAGAGATCACAAGTAGGCAGAGAGGCAGACAGAGAGGGAAGCAGGCTTCTTGCTGAGCAGAGAGCCGGATGCAGGGCTTGATCCCAGGACCCTGGGATCATGACCTGAGCCAAAGGCAGACGCCCAACAGACTGAACCAGATATCTGTATTTTAAAAGTAACTCCATTATCATACTACTAATTTTCAAATGTGATTGAGTCTTCATATTTAAACCACGATTTGGTGTTAACTTCAGAGAATATTCACAATCAATTTTTAGATAAGAGGTAGTCTTAAATCTTCAGTTACTATATTATTTTAAAAAGACTTGCTGCAAGGGGTCCCTGCATGGCTCAGTCGGTTAAGTGTCTGGCTCTTGATTTCAGCTCAGGTCATGATCTCAGGGCTGTGGGCTTGAGCCCCAAACTGCACTCCACAGCTCAGCAGGGAGTGGGTTTGAGATTCTCGCTCCCTCCCCTTCTCTCCACTCCATGCTTGCTTGCGTGCGCATGCTCTCTCTCTCCAAAATAAATAAATCTTAAAAAAAAAAAAAAAAAAGACTTGCTGAAAATTTAATAAAATATCAATGGAAAAAAATAAAAAATAAGATGTCAATGGAACTATCACCTGACATGACTGAAAAAAGTTAGCCAGATATGTGCCACCTCAGCTTAATTAAAGAACATGAGAAAACTAACTGCATCGTAGTTATAATCATATCATTAGAGCTACCACTTTTCGCATGCATTAGTGTTGTCCAGTGGCTTAATTTATAAGCATCTATTGTTACAAAGCACAGAGGTTTCTTTCATGCGCTCAACCAAGTATAGTTCAAGTTCAATAGCTTCCTTGTTTACTTAATTTTGTTTCATTCTATTTTCTTTTGGAGATATTTAGTATAGTATAGTCATAATCTTTTTGCCTTTGTCCTTCAGGATATATTTTATTTAATTTTTAATTTTAATTTTAATTTTTTAAAGATTTTATTTATTTATTTGACAGAGATCACAAGTAGGCAGAGAGGCAGGCAGAGAGAGACAGAGAAGCAGGCTCCCTGCTGAACAGAGAGCCCTATGTGGGACTCCATCCCAGGACCCTGGGATCATGACCTGAGCCGAAGGCAGAGGCTTTAACCCACTGAGCCACCCGGGCGCCCTAATTTTTTATTTTTAAAGATTTGATTTATTTAGTTGAGAGAGCGGGAGAGTACGGGGGTGGGGGCCAGAAGGGCAGAGGGAGAAGCAGACTCCCCACTGAGCAGGGAGCCTGACAGAAGGCTCAGATCCCAGGACCCTGAGATCATGACCTGAGCTGAAGGCAGATGCTTAACCAAAGCAGACATTTAGCCAGCTGAGCCACCCAGATGCCCCCAGGGTATATCTTAAATAAGAGCATGGGTTAATGCCCTCACCAACAGGTCTATTTAAATAGTTTACTCATAAATAAATAAACTACTCCAGACCCATAAAGTGAATATGAATTCCCAAATGTAGTTACTTGTGTGCTGATTTAATGAATGTGTGATTTTGATGTACCTAAAAATATAATATGTATTGATCATCTGACTTAATTTTTTTCAGGACCTGTGAAAGCACTAAATGACAAGAAAGTTTCTTGCAAATGAAACATTAGGACTGTTAAGTTTAGCTTTTATTGTTGTTTGTACCAAAATATTTTCCCAAGAAATTAATTTCCAAAATGATCGTAGATATCAATCAAAAGTAGTATTTCAAAAACAAAACAACAAGAAAAAGGCCTTCTTGTGATTTTGTGAAAGATCCACCTCTGCCAGCTTACAAAGACTATCCTGTTTCCTGGTCCATATCACCTACTTCCTGGACTCAACTGTCCTTTCTGTAAGGTCCAAAGACCATGTCTTATGTACTGTTGAATCCCCAGGGCTTAACACAGGAACTGGTACATAGTAGATTCCAGCCCATTTTGAATGGATAAATGACAGTAGCACAAACACTGCTCCCTATATCCCCCTCTATTAGGAAGGAGAGGGGGATTATGAGGTCGGAAGTAATTAATAGGCACGATAATATATCATATGGAATCATTTAATCCTAATTCTGAAATTGAATGTCCATTCCGTCCATTCTGCAGAAGAGAGAAGACAGGACCAACTGGCCAGTGCCCAGACACCTTCCCTGGAACCAGTCATTCAGTCCCTGCATTGAAACAGATGATCTGGTCAAAGTCTTTCACATATAGAGAAGCCATAGAGAAGAAAGTGACTTCTCATATATACACAAGATCTGTAGTTAGGTTACACAGAAAAGGAGGTCAAAGTAGAATTTCTTGCTGTTTATTGGCCATTCTCTTTGCCCAGCCCCTTACCACATTGAGCAGCCCAGCCATGCCTTTGGAAGAATTCCGGAGCTGGGAAAGGATGGTGGGATGAGGAAGCACAGCTCGAGGCTCAGCTCAAGACAGTAGTAGTACCAGGGGTGCCTGGGTGGCTCAGTGGATTAAGCCGCTGCCTTCGGCTCAGGTCATGATCTCAGGGTCCTGGGATCAAGCCCTGCATCGGGCTCTCTGCTCAGCGGGGAGCCTGCTTCCCCCTCTCTCTCTACCTACTTGTGATCTCTCTTTCTCTGTCAAATAAATACATAAAGTCTTAAAAAACAAAACAAAACAACAATAAAAAAAAGATAGTAGTAGTACCAGATAGAAGTTGGGACACATAGCGGTTCCATCTTCACTCCCTGACAAAAGGACAGACTACTTCTCTCTCCCTAAATCTTCCTCCACCCCACCCTTAGCTCAGACAATGAAACTAGAAGCCAAAGGCTAGAGCTGGGGGAAATATCTGGGCAGGATTTTATTCCAGCAGCAAGCCTAGCAGAAGAAAGACAGTCATCCAGGCTCCTGCAGGGAAGAAAGAAATGGTTACAAATAGGGTTCAGTGGCTTTGGGAACCTGGGAAACTTTTTAGGCTTAAATATTCCACTTTGGGGGATTATTTAGCAGTCCATTCATGCATTCTTTCAACAAAGCTTTCCTGGATCCCACTGTCCCAACTGTCGGACAGTCCTTCCCTTAAAATGGGGGTGAGGCAGATGGAGTATAGGGATGAAATGCACTCTCTAGTTCAATGGGGACCCCACTCAGCCTCTCTCACTTATTACCTGCCTGGCCCTACCCCCTACTCTAAGTCATTTCTGGATAGTCTCAGGTTCTGATGAGGTGTAAAACTCTAACTGTGACCACCAACAACCCCACAATGAAACTCTGCCATATTCTGC